CTGTGAGGAGGAGGAGAAATAATAGGATTTTTGAAAAGGAAAGGAAAGCTTAACCACAGGTGCTTTGGCCTGTCTGAAGAGCTGTGGCACCTGCAGAAACATCTTCATCTAAATCAGCTTTATTCAGCTGGGTGCTCCTTCCAGAAATCTTGGACCACAACTCTCTCATCATCCCAGAACATGCTGGCTAGGGCTGATGGGAACAGGAGTCCAACAACATCTGGAGGGCACCAGGTTGAATAAGGTAGATTTTAAAGGCCTTGCCTATGCCACATACCTGCAGCAGAGGCCTTGTGGCAAGCCCTTTTCCTTCTCCTGTCCCTGTGGACCGTGAAATCCCAGCTAGATCCTGACAGGTCCATCTCCCGTGCCTAGTGGCTGCTTCCCACTGCTGGAATTTCTGGGTCAGTCTCAGTGTTGAAAGCGATAATAGGATCAGCAAAATGTTCTCGACTTCCAGTGAACTCTTTCATGCACATTTAGCAGTGAATCAGGGCCGGTCCAAGCATTAGGCGGAGGGAGATGGCCTCAGGCAGCAGGTACTGAGCTGCAGGGAATTGTGACAAGATGTTGGAGGCCAGAGCTATGTGTGTCACAGGCCCTGGCCCTGCACTCACTTTGCCACTTCTGCCTTTTGAGATCCTTGTAATGAGAGACACTGGGGATTGAACCATGAGCCCTTATTTATGAAAGGACTTGACATTGTAGTTTTGGGTGTGCACAGGACCCGCTTACTTAGATGTAAAGTCCACATTAGGATTTCATCCCAGCACATTTGTTTCAATGTAGAGAATTTATTTATTTGGCTAGGGCGGGGGAATAGTTGTTTCACAACACACACATTGTGTCCTTTTGACATTGTCACACATATAAGAAAACAGATCAATCAGGAGAAATAAGGTGTGGTGTGGCTCTCTTGCCTAGTGGTGGTCTTCAGGGGGCCAGCAGCCCAAAGAGACAGCCCACTCCACATGCGATGGGTTAATATTTGTTTCTTGAAGATTTCCTCCGCCCATATGTGAAGCAAATGAACTACTAAAGGGAGGTGGCTTTTATTGTTGAAAAATACAGTCTTACATTTATTTATTACATATTTCCAATACGATTATTCTTTAAAATTGATACTTCTAAGGGTTATAAGCAAATTTATATCCCCCTCCTGTTCAAGTTGGCATACCACTGTTGGAGCACATTTGTTCATTTAAGGCCCAGGCAAGATGTTTAAATGAGGAAGTCACTTCCCTTGGGAGTTTTTGGGAGCGGAGATGCATTTAACTGGTTCCCTGCCCACCACTGCCCCACTATAAAAACATCCACCCCCCCCCCATGGCTTTAACTGCACGTTAGTGACAGGAAACACACAGTTGTCCTTGGGAATGTGTGGTCAAAACTCCACAAGGGGAAAAACTTCTTGGGGTGGGGGCAATTTGGAGATGGGATAGGGCAGGTGGGAAAAGTACCAAGTACCTCTTTCCCAAGAGTTCCTCTGCAAAACGTATTAGGCCTCTGTTGTGCATGCTAGCATGGAAAGTGCAGTTAGCCCTTCATTCGCTGATTAGCAATAATAATAGCACAGGGACAATGAAAAAAGGTATATATTACTCTTCTAGTGCTGCCCCAGAAAGTACATAAAGGTGGGCAGACTTTTTTAGCTACTGTTTTTAAGAAGTCTTTAGGTAGCCCTAAAATGGTAAAATTTATGCTTGTGGATTTCATTCAGCAGCAGCAGCACCCGTCACCCCCATCACCAACCTTTCCTCCTGCCATAATTTAAGCACAGCCCTCACCTTACAAAAGATGGATATCTTTCTAATATAAACCTTCTTCAGTCATCTAGTACCCATGAATTAGTGTCAGTCCATGGGTACAGAATACATATTGGTCTTTTTAATCTCCATCAGTGTGGAGCCCTACATTTGGGTATCCCTGTGTGCAAAGGCCTCCTTCAGACTAACAGTGACCATGTATCAGCCAGGAGATGGCCAATGCATCCACCAGTGTCTGCACATTTTAGAAAGCCTGTACACAACCTGGGTCATCTGCTCTTCTAGAGACTGAGCACGGCACGCTCCCACATTTTTAGCTTTCACCTGTGTGGCTCAGAGCTCTGCTTAAGAGCCTTTTGCACCTGTCAACATCCTCCTTGACTTGTGGGTGGCCAGGACTGAACACAGCACTCCGAATCCGACCAGAGCCAAGTAGTAAGGAAAACCACAAGAGCAGCACTGTTGCTTCCCAAGACTGGGCAGTGGATGGTACATTGTATTAATAATGCAGCCTGAAATAGAATTGACCTTTTGGGCCTCACCATCACATTGTTGACTCACGATTGGTTTGTCATCCACTGAGTGGTAAAGACCACTCATCATGAATTTCTGAAGATTTTGTAGGTGTGAGGGCAGCTTGTTCTCTCACTATAAATCTGCTTCCCATTATCACAGCTGTAAGTGGGCATCTGATTATCTATTAGTACATTAGGTAGTCTTTGCTGCATCACTTCCATTTGTACACAGCAAAAAAAAAGCTGAAGTATTTTCTTTGCCATGGCAATGGATCAACTTTTGAGCAACACATTAAAATGTGAAGGCAGCATCTGTTAAGGCTCTGAGGCTACAGGGGATTCTGTGAGGCCTGGTCAAGGGGAGGATGAGAGAAACTTTTTTTTACTGTTCCCTGATCCTCTTCTTATACCCCAGCCTCAAATCCCTTACCCACTGCCCATCAATAAGTGCATTTTATTTTTATGACTTCTGTCTCTCCTTCCCACTTGTTCTTTAGTGGCCCATGCTGTAATTAGGACCTAGTAAGAAACCACCCTGGAGGTGTATATATCAAATGCATTGTTACTAATTCTGCTTGAAAGGTACTTTCACACAAGTCTGCTTAAAATCAGAGAGATAACCGAGTTTTGCCAGTGAATTAAAACACATTCATTTCAAAGTTGCTACATTTTTATTGGTTACAACTGACTTTTATTAAGGAAAGGCTAATGTTTGTGTTATAACTGTCTTAACGTATTCAAATTTACCTATCCCATAGTTTTCTTTTTATCATTTTATTGGTCTTTTTTAATAGCTAAAAAACTAAACTGAATAGTTTATTAATTTCAAAGATATTTAGATATGAGTAACTTGCTTTGGATCCCATCATTTGCATCTCATATACAAAACTTAAGTCTGAGATTCAATGTCCAGTATATGTGTGTGTACAAATACTCCTTGGGAACTTGTAAAATTTGCTTTGGGCTGAATTAACCTAAGGCACTTTCCTATATGAATTGGCCCCTCTACACACTCTTAATCTATATTGGGTAGTTTCATGTTACTTACTCATAAGAGGTACGGTTTTTAGACAGCTTGATATATGAAGAAATTGGTACTGAGGAAGTTTAAGAAGAGAATTTAACACTTAAAAAGAAAAGATGGTTAATTTGGTTGGACATGACACAACCAAAGTTAGGCGCTTGTTAAAGTCCCATTGATTTCACTGGGAGTTCTTTAAGCATATGCTTAACTTTCTTTTAAAGTGCTTAATTTAATGTGGATTGTGCACCCACCCAATGCATGAGAATGGTTTTACACAGGATCAACAATCTCCCCCTTCAGATATCTCTAGCAATTTCTCAAAGCACTATCCTGAACATGTATTTTCCACACTTAGCCTTGGTAATCCTGTCTAATAGCCACTGACTGGCATTCTTCTCCTAAGAGAGGAAACAGTACAAAGACCAAGAGTTAAGACTTTGGCGAGGTAGGTTTCAGTAACATATTAGGAAAATATATTTCCTAAAATGGAATGAATAACCTAGATATAAGAAGTGAATGTTTCAGGAAACACTGCCATAGTATTCAAAAAGATTGCCACTATATTCTGCTATAGGCCTCTGTGCTACATGCTCCGGAAGATTATGTACCTTAGCTCTGCTAAGTTTCCATCCACCCAGCTTTATTTCATGCTACAGCAGAGTTGGTATGTTTGGTTGTACAGGGCACCCTCCTGTGGTAGCCGCTGGCATGGCACACAGTTTGGATATGGAGAAAAATGTAATATAATACTGAGAGCACAAAGGGAGAATGGACTCATGGAAGGCAAATGCCTGATCCAGTTCTACTCATGCACAGATAGCTGTGTGGGAATATCTGCACTAAAAGACGGATGAGGACACAATATTATTAGCTTACATACCTTTGAAAGCACCAGGAATTTCTTTCCATCTAGAGAGTTGCACAATGTCCTAATAGGCAGAATTATAATTCCTTGAGAAGGATTTTACAATACTATCATTATAATTTGCCACTGTCTCTCGAGACAAACAGGTGCCAACAAAAGTAATTGCTGAGAGGGAGTGCATATGTAGGTGTAAGTTGGCCTGAGGTATGGCTATACAGTGGTACCTCGGGTTACAGATGCTTCAGGTTACAGACTCTGCTAACCCAGAAATAGTACTTCAGGTTAAGAACTTTGCTTCAGGATGAGAACAGAAACGTGGTTGGCAGCGGGAGGCCCCATTAGCTAAAGTGGTACCTCAGGTTAAGAACAGTTTCATGTTAAGAACAGACCTCCAGAATGAATTAGGTTCTTAACCCGAGGTACCACTGTATACTGTATTAATTCTGATTTCCTTGTAAACTAATTTACAATATTTTTGGATTAAAAAAATTATAAAGAAATACTTGAAATATAAATTAGAAGGGGGTTTCCTGTTAGGCCCTCAAGAAGCCCAAAGGCTAAGAGAATCTACAGCACTAAACAGGCACATGACATTAGCTGAGGAAATATGACTGAATCCTCGTTGTCTGCTAAATTGACCCAACATTACAATTTAGCTGCGCTGCTTCTTCATTTTTTGCAGGGGGGTGGGGAGATAACTGTAGGGAGCAGTTCATTAACAATGCTCACCCTAGACTTTTGAGACCATTGGGCACGGCACCCTCAATCTGTAGGGTTGGAAGGGACCATGAGGGTCATCTAGTCCAACCGCCTACCATGTAGGAATCTTTTGTCCAACGTGTGACTCTAACTCAGGACCTTGAGATCAAGTGTCTCAAGCTCTACCAACTGAGCTACTCTCCCTAACAAAGATATGGGATATGCAAACTGAGAATTCTATCAGGCTCCAACTGAGCTTGGATACTCAGTGCAAAGTGGAAATGGTGGCTGTTAGAGCAGTGAACCTTCTGCTGGTCTTGGGGGCATAGGAAAATGCCCATTGTAGCCACCTTCAAGAGCAGCTTATCCGTGAATGGCTATAAAGCGCAGTTATACTGGAATTTTCTCTCTCATGTTTGCTTTTCGAAAATGTCATTTTAAGAACCAGCCCATGTCAAACACTATCTTTTAGCTTGTTGTATGTCACGTGTGGGTACCAGGGCATGTTATTTATTTACTCTTACTGCTTATGTTTGCACTCCGTCCTTCTTGCCAGAGAACTTAAGAGCAACTTATATACGGTTCCCAGGATAAGATCAGTTTTGCAGAATGCCGGGCCAGAAATTGCCCTGCTTGGCTTCAGCAGTAGAACTGCATCATGGGCCTTTGTATCATTATTTTGAATTGAAAGTGGAAGAGTCTTATTTTGATATCAAATGTGCATGTCAGTCAATGCAAACTTTACACCCACATTACAGGTGTGGGAAAAGCGAACAGTTTTTAGTGTCATAGTGAAAATGCCTTTATTTTGCAACAGAGCAAGGAAGCACCAGAAAAGCCACTTAACACTTTGTTCACATTGATTTCAAATGACCTTGTTCCAATATGTACATTTCAAAACTGTTCTTCTATCTGTTAAGGACACAAACTATTTATGGGGTGTTGTTTTTAGATATGGTGCCCTACATTCTGGGTTATATTGTTTCTTGTATCACGGCCTGAATTTAGACATTGTATCTATTTTTACCCTTCCAAAATATAACAATATTTCCTGAAGAGTCATTGTCTGGTTATATTCTAGCCAGGAAGAATGCTGAAAACATCCTCCTTCTTAACTTTTATTATAGCCATGCTGTTCTTTCCAACATACTCCAAATTGGGGTTATATTGTAAAACTATTTTCAGGTGGTTTTTATTTAGCTGTAATATTTGTTCCAACTCTCATCTTAACAGGGGCAGTTTTGTCTTATCTTAAATATACTGCAGTTTTGTAGTCTGAAAATCACCAACTGAGGAACAGGCATAGAAATGGTATGCATAAAACTAGTGTAGGGAACCTTAGGCCCGCCTGATGTTGCTGGACTACACAACTCCCATAATCTCTACCTAGCATGGCCAATAGCCAGGGATAATGGGAGTTGTAGTTCAGCAACACCTGGAAGGCCAAAGGCTCCCCACACCTGGTATTTTTAAAATGCCTTATTTCATGTTTGTTTGCATATTGGTTTTACTGCAACGTGCTCACATCTTTCTTCCAACTAGTCCATATGTGTGCTTAGGAAAACAACTTGTGCTGAATTTAACTCCCACCTCCCCCTTAGCCAGGCATTTACGGACATCAAGTCTTCCTGGGACGGCTTTTGACAGAAGGAATCTAAATGAGAAGTGCTAGCAGAACTCCCTTTGCGCTTTGTCCTAATTGTTTTCATACTATCTTGCTCTGCTTTAAAGCAAAATCGTTCACAGAGTAACTTGTATAAACACACTCTGAATGTAAATATACACTTAAAAGACTTAATTCCCACTTACCGTCTGATGATATACTTTGGTATTCTAGCCTCCCACTTTCTTTCAGTGTGTCTTGTGTCGACTCCTCCTCTGTTCTCCACTATAACGTCCAGAGCTTATCTGCTATTTGTTCTTAAAGTCAGTGCTGCCTTGACCACACACAGTACGTTACATTATAGTAGAAGACTTAATACCAAGATGAAGCTGTTTTGAACTGTGTTAAAACTTTTCAAGTACATGCAGTTGATCTGAATTATTGTTTTAATTTCTGTGGGGGAAAGCAGTCCAACACCACTCATGCATGAGTGTAAAGGACTTCTGCAACTGGATTCTTATCTCCTACAGCACCATCTCCACAGATTCTCCAGAACAGATTTTTTTGGAGGTGTAGGTGGATGGAGACATTGCCACCTTGTGCAATGCTGAATTTCACCCAACATCTTTTGAAAAGGCCTTTTCTCCCCCTAGAAAATTATAGTTCAATATCTCACAACCTTCTTGTTTGTATCAGTCTGAAGGTGAGGCAGGGGAGTTGTCATTGGTTGTTTTTTTTTAAAGACCAACTGGTGAGGATGAGGTAGTAACATTTTAGGACAAGGTAAAGTACTGGAAAAGGAAGTAGGAAGGTTCAGGACATATTTAGGTAGATGGTTTGAAAGCATCGGTACTGCAATTTACACTTATTTTCCTTACGCAATCACAGCTTTAGGCAGTTTATTATGCATATATGAATAGAAAAGGGATGGGAGACTCCCACTTACTGGGCTCTGGAAGCCCTTGTAAGGTTTTGCAGGGCCATCCAAAGGCTCTTTCTTTGCAGAAACAGCTTTTCAAGCTCTGCACCTTGCTTACAGGGTTCTGGGAATGTTGCACAAAGCCTCTTGTAGGCTGTAGAGAAATCTTGGATGGCAGAGGCTGCTCCTCAGATTGTTCTGATTTCATGCTATTTTGCCTTTGCATATGGACCCCTAGAACCTCAGTGTACATTATACAGCAGAACCGTACAGCAGAACTGTTTTCATACCCACCCATAACAGTGCACAGAAAAAGGTCTACTTGCCCTTTCAGACCAATTAGGTAGCATAATCCCATGGCGCTACTGATGTAAAACGTAACCTATGCCACCACGGGCTCTTGCTGGTCTTGTTGGCCAAGTGCATCAAATGTTATTGCCTCCTCAATGTAAACTCACAGTTCTTAAAAGCCACTGCAGAATGCAATTCTTCAGAGCAGGGTGGGGATCCTGTGCCCCCCCACCTAGATGTTATCTGGCTACAACCCCATCACTGAAAATGCTGGCTGGGGCTGATGGAAGGGCCACAGGTTCCTTACCCCTGCTTCAAAGTACATAGATATGAAGGCTGAGCAGATAATGATAGAGCAAATGTGCAAAAGAGGTGATTTGATGCTGGAGGATGGCAGGTGGAGCAAGCTTCAGCTTACAAACTAAATGCATTTGGTCACCAGAGCTCCTTTTAAGCATACTAGCCAGTCCCTGTGATGAAGCCCACAAAGGTTTGTGCCATACACTCTTGGGAACAGAATATCACAAAGACCTGGTCTCTTACCAGCTGAAATTACCTTCCAGGCTGCTTAAAGGTAAAGTAGAGTAATTTCCTTTCCCGTTCCTCTTAACTCTCTGAACTGCAAACCATCCTTTGCATCAAATGAAAACTTGACATTGAAGGGATATCCTGAAACACTCTCTGATAGTACTGAACAATTATGTGGTTAATGTATTCACTAATATTCAAAGAAACAGAAGTAATTCCTTCCATTACTTCATAATACAGTTATGCCTATCCCCACCACTGCACCCCTTCTGCAAAAGGCCTTTGAGTCACTTTTTGTAGCTTTGCACAAGCACGCTAGGTGACAGCACACCACTTTGCACTTGTGTCCGCGTCTCAGGCTTGTGCTTTAAAGCGAATACGAGGGCTCGCACAGTCCTGCGGTAGGGCGCGCTAATGAGACGGGATGAGAGATGAAAAGCTTCTCGCTCAATATTTTCCACCAGCGGGTGACCAATCTGAAAACAGAAAGTAAGAAATGAGATCCTTACATTTAATAAGGAGACTAACTGTTTGAAATTGGAGGCTGGTTTCTTAATCAGCTCAAATTCAAGGAAATCCACTTCACATCACAAGTGAAACAGGAAGAGCAATTTAATTTCACCCCAGCAATTAAAGAACAAGGCAGTGTGGTCAGTCGCTTTTTTCGCCAGCCCAACAGGAAACTAATCTGCAGCCAACCTGGGGTATCAGGTTCAAGTGCAATTACGAACAGGGTAATACTGCCTCCGATAACATTCAGTGATACAAGACACTTTTGATAGCATTTCAAACTCAATTCCAAAACCAAAACCTGGATGTTCTAAATACTTGGCAGGGCCGACTGGCAGGGCTGTAAAGGGAAATGCAGACTCTGTGAGCAAGTGTAAGGAGGTGTAATTAAGAAAACAGAAAGGGATTTGCTAAATGTTAATTATGAAGTTATTGCTTCAACATGTGCCAAGCTATGTAATTTGGCACAGCTGAGACATCTAAATAAATTATATAGAAATAAATGAAAAGCAACTATTGCCTACCAAGAAAGGGTTTATTTCTCTTTTGGCCATTAGTGCCGAGGAATTCTGTATTTGGGGAGAATCCAGAATGTTCAATTGTTACTATCTTCAGGCTTATTTTCACCTCTGCTATGGTATAACCACTTCCCACTCTTTGTGGAATCTTATATCTAAATTTTAGTACTCCGATGAAATCATTGACCCTCCTCATCCTCCATAAGATAACAGATCTTTGCAGGGTTGTGGATCTAAAACACACCGTCCAAAGCTCACTGCTCCAATTATTTTGAATAGCTTCTAATTCTAACTCTTGCCTCTCATATTTTGCTCACAGCTCACCTCTGGTGGTTCATGAAAATGCATATGGCACTTCTTTGTGTTAGTAAACAATGGCTCTTGTGGGGAAGAGTCAAATAATAGGACGGGGAGTTTTGATTATACTGGTGAATACACAGAACAGGACCTTCTCAGCGGTGGCTTCCCCGTTCTTGCAATTAGGTTCCACGTGAGATAAGGCAAGCCCCATCGCTTGTTAACTTTAAATTGGCCTTAAAAACTTACTTTTAAAAACATGGCCTCTGGAGGCCATTTTTGTTTTACTGTATGTGGAATGTTGGCTAGTGTACACTGCATCGTACTAGATATTTAAGTGCTTAATGATTTTATTTTTGGATTTGCATTGCATATAGTTCTAAACTGCTTTGAGAAGCATTTTAGCCTGAAAAGCGGTCTAAAAGTCTAATAACTACATTTACTAGCCCTTGGGTTCCAATTAGAAAAGAATGGCATCGGCTGCCAATTAGCTTCCGGGCTAAGTGTGAGGTGCTGGTTCGAGTGTACAAAGTCCTATACAGCTTGGGATCAGGATACAATAGTCTCAACCCTTCTACTGATCATTCTACTGATTGTTATGTTCTTCGGGAGAAGGCCTGTTCCCATACTATATAGGAATCAGGCCTTTAATGTGGCAGCTCCTACTTATTGGAATCCTGCCCCGCTCCTACACCCCAGCAACTGAATACTGGACAGGCTCCATCTCCATTGTTTTATTATTTATTTAATAAATTAAAAGAATGATCTTCTGCTTTGCCAGGGATCATAATGGCTTAATCCAACACTGATGGGGGATGGCCAGAAGGGGTTCAACAGAAGAAGATACTCTGTGTTTTAAACTATTACCACCTTGGCCTTTGAAGTTCTCAGCATGAGTGGGGATGTCACATTCCCTCCCGCCCCCCCCCCCCGCAAAAAAATTAGGCTCCTTTGCCCAACAGCTAACTTGCTAGTAGGCAGAAGCAAGTTCAGCAAGTATATTATTCCCCAACACTGTGGTGTCAAAATTAGATGTTTATGGCATTAAAGACTGGAATTCACCCAATTCGTAACTGGAAAAGACTGCAAATACTTTGCATTATATATGAATCTTATATTAGATAAGCATTTCCCATGAAGAACAGTCAAGATGCTACCTTGCACACCTAGTTTTCCCATTTGTACATTGCAGCAAAAGGCAATTTACCAGCCCTTCAGCAGCAAATGAATTTCAGAGTGACCCACACTCAATTAAAAATAAAAAATACATATATAATAATGATTAAAACTGAAATGATTGGTTAGCAGATGGATGCTATAAAGACAACTTGTTTCACAATTAGGCAGATGTAGGCAGTCACTAAGAGCAGTAGGGAGATAGTAGGCGTCCCTATTATTTCAACTGTCTGCTTGCTATGTCACTGAGGGGTTGCTAGGTTGTTGTTTTTTTCCTCCTAATCTTGCTTTGCATTGGTTAAAAAAGATTCTCATTCAGCAGCTATCTTAACATCTGCACAAATACAAGGTGAAGGAGAGTGACAGCAGTGACCAGCCAGATGCAACAAGAGTAACGGATGGAAAAAGAAGGTAGAGGCAGCGTATCAGTCAGGTGCGGGGAAGCTCTGGCTCTCCAGATGTTGCTGAACTACAACTCCCATCATCCTTGGCCATGCTTGCTAGAGCTGGTGCAAAATTTAGTTCAGCAACATCTGGCAGGCAAAAGGCTCTTCGTACCCAATACATATGTTTGCACGAGGTGGAAATAAAAGAGCCCTGAACGTGCAGACCCAGCCTTTTGGCAAAAGTGGAGAAGCACATATATGAATAGTAATGAGCCAGGACACAATCCCAATTAAAACTGGCTTCTGGCTACTGACTGCTCCAGATCAGCAACATCAAGCATGTATCTGAAGAGTTACATACATGGCAGAGTTGAAGCTGAGCACTCCAGCTTCAGGACCCAACATTAGCTCCTTAGCAGAAACGGTGCATGATTTTCTGACCAGAGTTGACAAGGACTGTAAACACTGCTTCTAAATTTTGCACGGCAATTCCTGAGGGCCTTGACGTGCCATTTAAAGGATAATTAATGAATACATTAAAAGGATAATTATTATGGAGTTTAATATAGCAGGCAAACTGATCATTAAGGCTTAGAGAGAATTCTTGTTGTGTTCATTACTTAAGAATACCACAGGGATCTGATATTTACCACCACTTTGTACACTATTGACCCTCTCTGTAGGTTCTCACAATAAACTTTGATTTACAAACACTTAATTACGGATATAAAGTTTGCCTGAAATACAGAGCATCCAAAGGGCTTTAGCACAGATTTAGTGCATTAAAATATTGTGTGATCTCCAATGTTGCACAAGCAGGCTTTTGCTCACACTATAGGACTTCGCTTCCCCTGCCATGCAGCTCTTTGAGGACCCCCAAAATTTGCTCCAGAGTCCCAATCCATGGGAACTGAAGGGGGAGGAGGAGCAGAAGGAGAAGCCAGTTCTGCTGCTGCGCTAATACCATGCGGTACTGTCCATTGAGATTAACAATCCATTTCTATGCTTTCCTTTCTTTGAATTATTGGGATGATATGTACATATTGGCTATGCAAAAGCAAATGTTTTTTCTACTCCTCCTACCCGTCAGTTAGAGTCCAGGGTCATGTAGAGTCCATGGTCTTCTAACACATGACTCTGCTCAATTTTATAATCATAGTAAGATTATAGTAGTATATTGTGATTATATAATCATATTAAGATTTCCTAGTTCCACCCCATACCTTCTGCAGTTAGGCAGGTAACAACTAGGGAGGGAGCTTTCTCAGTTGTAGTGTCCATACACAGAATGTCCCTCCCAGGTGCCAAATCTGATGTCTTTTCCGACACCAAGTAAAGAGCTTTTCATTTGCCCAGGCCTTTCTGCATGCCACAGAACCGAATTCTAACTGAAAATGTTTTCTGATTCTGCTGCTTCTATCACTCTGCACACTTTTCTCATTTCTGCTGATTTTATACTGTGTCTTATTTTATTTGATATTGTTCATAGGACCTTTGAGAGCTACTCTCAAGCTTTGCAAATTTGGGAAGGATGTCAATATTTTAAATAAGTTATAGTTGTTGCAGACCCTGTACATGAGCTTTTTTCTATACCCTCCTTATTACAAAGAATATATTTGGGAGGAAAGGACAGTGAAAATGCCTAACAATAGGTTTCAATCTTAGGATCAGAAGGTACTTTTGCAGCCACCTACAGAAAGCTTTTCTCATTCTACAAGGCCAGAAGATGAATTTCCATGTAATTTCTCGCAGCGCTGCAAAAAAAAATAATTTTTATTTTTCTGATTTATGTAACTATTGCTTTCTTCCTTCCCTGCTGATTGAAGAGGTGAAAACAGATGGAACATTTTTAGAGCACTGGGGATGGGTTGGAAACACACCCATTGCATTCAATATAAAATCTACATTAGTTTTATTTCTAGGAAAAAAATCCTGCTCTGTAAATTGAGGGTGTCTCAGTTTCATTGAGAAAAAGCCAGCTATAGATAGTGCTGACTGGATATTGCCTATGATGCTAATCAGCACACATAATCCCTGACGCAGCTTTGAAACTTAAAAAAATTCAGGGGGGAAACATATAAGTGAACACGCTTACATATAGGGCTTTAAACCTTTTTTAAAAATCAGATAGTCTTGCTGGCACATGACATTCTATACAATTCTATGCAGCAGAATTCCCGCATCAGCAAGGGGTTGGACTAGATGACCTTTGGAGTGCTTTCCATCACCATGATTCTCTGAGAAGAGCAAGAAATCTGCTGCCTAGACTCATGAAGAAAATAATAACATCTCCCTATATTTCAGCAGGCTGCCTGCCTTTAATACCCAGCCATTCCTGACAACCCTGAAATCACTGGATGAGATTATGTTTTAACTGTTTCAGAACATTTTTTGTTTTGTTTTGCTGTTGCAACTTGGGCTCCTTTGGGAGGAAGAGGCAAGGTGTAAATAAAATAACATAATGTTACATAAATAATAATTAAATTACTATAGGCAAGGTTATACACTGTTCCCCTTATTTAAAAAAAAGTAAGTTGCAAATCATTCAGTTTGCTGTTATGTGTACAACATGCAAAATGTAAATACAGACTCATATCCACTAGGAAGTTCAACTAGAATTTAAACCTTATGCCTCTCGTCACTAAGATCAGCACTTTTCCATTTTGAATTCCTGGCATCTGCCCTAAATCCGTAACAGAACCACCCCAACTTTGTAAATAAAAATGCTTCTCATTCAAAGCCATTTTCAGAAAATGAGTAATAAAAAACACAGTACCTCCAGCTCTAGAGCTTCAGCAAGTAGCTTCTGTGCATTCTGCCTAAGCTTCTCTGTCCTGGGATTACTCTTCACTTCTATTGAGGGTCTATTTGAATGGTCTTTGATGAATGCTCGCCACTCAGTATACACTTCTTTGGCAAGAGCGGCCACATCCTGATCTGAATGCTTGCGCATCTTGTTCACTGTATGACCTTGCAGAAGATGACAGCAACACAAACTCTTAGCACACATTAATACATATTAGTATGAATGAAACTTCTGAAAACTGAAGGCAAGCTTGGAAGCACCTGGAATCAGTAACATGGGTGAAAAAGACTTGCCATGAGATGGACTGACATTTGGCTGCTTTGCCAGCAGTTTCCAGGCCAGTGTTATTTCCACCAAAGCCTGCTATTAAGCCCAGAGATTTAGCACAGCAATTATGACAACTGGAACATCTGTATACATCTTCACTTCTCCATACGAGTTCTTGACTAATTCATTGTATTTAAATATATTTAAAGCTGCCTTGGTAACTTTGGTTACTGCTAGAGGTATAATGACCAACTAAGACAGCTTAGCATAAGTTCAGCGAGGGCAGAGAGTGGGGAAAGGTCTTTAACATGGACACTTAAAATGCCAGTCAGGTTTAAGCTCACATTATTTATATATTCAACATGCAAGCATTTTTAAAATGAGCACAACTGATAGGTCTCAGTTTATTCAAATGAACCACATACATACTTGCAATGGAAAATAAAAAAAAGAATGTTACCTATTTTTGTTGAAAGTAAAACTTCTTTGGAGGGTATTTTCTTCTTTAATTCCATTAAGGCTTCAATTAGATTCTCCTTAGACTGAACTGAAAGCTCTAGCATAGATTTCCATCTTTTTATATCTTCTATAACCACAACTCTCTGCAAAGAACAATCATCATTAGGAGACAGAAAGAGGCACACATAACTTATTGCAGATAAATGTACTGTATTCTGTGTCAGCTAATATGATTGCTATTGACTTATGAATTATTAAATATGACAGGTAGACTAAGTGCAGGAAACCTAGGTAATCCAAACAGACGAATACTTGTTTCACAGTGAGTCCCTGATGTGAAGCAAATGAGAGAAATCTAGAAAGCAAAATAAACTCATTAGACTGCCATCTTCAATCCACTTACTATTCTGAAGTGAGTGTTTTAAGCAGGGTTTTTTTAAAACAAAACATGAAAACACCTCATTGTATTGTCAACTAGCAGCTGTTATTTTTCATCTCATCCCAATGTAAGGTCATCCCTGCACTTACCAAATATTTTTTTCAAGCCACAGCCCATCATCCAAATTCTTCATTCCAAATCTCAGTAGGCCAAACATCTCAAGCAAATATAACCGCCCCCCCCACTCCTGACTTGGTCCACTGTAAGCTAACTTTTTACTTCACTAATGCAGCGCTTTTTGTTGTCAGCCTTTACATGGACTTCTTGCAGTTTCTTCACCATTTTGGACCCACTCCTTCTACCAGGGGAGGGGAACCTGTGGCCCTCTAGCACCTGTTGGACCCTTAACTCCCATCAGCCCCAGACAGCATGGCCAATACAGTGGTGCCTCGCAAGACGAAATTAATCCGTTCCACGAGTATCTTCGTCTAGCGGTTTTTTCATCTTGCGAAGCAACCCTATTAGCGGCTTAGCGGATTAGCGCTATTAGCGATTTAGCGGCTATTAAAGGCTTAGCGGCTTAGCTGCTAAAAGGCTATTAAAGGCTTAGCGGCTTAGAAAAAGGGGGGGGGAAGCGAAAAAAAATCTCAAGACTCGCAAGACATTTTCGTCTTGCGAAGCAAGCCCATAGGGAAATTCGTCCTGCGAAGCGCATTGAAAAACGGAAAACCCTTTCGTCTAGCGGGTTTTCTGTCTTGCGAGGCATTCGTCTTGCGGGGCACCACTGTAATCAAGAGATGATAGACGCTGTAGTCCAGCTCGTCAAAGTAAAGTGCATCATCAAAGCAGTTTCACTGAAGCTTTTGAACTACCGCATTAGGACCTCTCTAGCAGGAATGGTTTGTAAACTGCATGCACAGTGTCAGATACATCCCCACAGAACCCTCAAGCCTCTCCTGAAGGTGTGGGGGGGACGGACACCCTGCTGAATGTGGTGAGTTAAGGCATATAAGGCTAAGGGGAAAGGGAGAAGAAAGGGCAGGGAAGTCATCTTGCACCCAACCACTTCTGCCCACATTTCTCTGGATCCAACCCATACTATAAAAGATGTGTTTCTGACTACTTTAGGGGACCTTAATTGTTCACTGTGCAACATGTTAATTAATGATTTTGTTCCAACAACTGTGAAGGGACTAAGTACACCCACCCAGTCTCAAGTACTTATTGCCCTATAGGATTTTGTACCTACCTATCTCTCAAAATAACTTCTGCTTTGCTAGTATTTATTTATTTTGTATACTGCCCTTCATCTGAAGATCACAAGGTGGTTCACAACATCAAGAAATGAAAGGAAAACACAAAATACACAATAAAACGAAAACAAACCAATAACCCTCCTCCTTTGCTTGACTAAGTTTCGCCTTCGCTATCTGTACACTCAGAAACACTGTCAAGCTATATGAAACAAAAGGACAGCCATAACATATTACAGTAGACATTTAATGAAATTAGAATAATTTGGGCATATCCAATATCTTACCTTCAGAGATTCTATAGTAGCTTGCTTGTAAATCTTTTCTCCAGGATCTTTCTCCTTAGGGTGTCCTTCAGTTCTGGGTTTTCGTATAACAAACTTATCCATAACACAGTCCTTAAAGAGACAGAAGCCACTGAATGGAGCAAAAAGACAATTCTGTTTCAAAGGCCGGATGTGTGTAGAACATCTGGGGTTGATACAGATCTTGCAGCTATAACTAACACAGCACAGTGCCCACTAATCTGAAGAAAATGATGATAGCAGGAACGGAGTGGGGGAGGAAAGAGACTTTCATACTCTAACTGGCAGCTTGGAATAAAATCACAGCATCTGAGTTAATAATGTGTAACAACAGAAGACAGAGAAGAAAACTGGGTATCAGACCACAAGCACTCAAACCTCTCAGAAGCAACAATGGTTTGATAGAGACCAGGAGTTAACAGCCTTCAAAGAAAGGACTGTTTGGAGTCATGCCCTCTGTTTTGGATGTTCTTCCTCAACTACTGTACATATTTGAGAGGGCCTCCTATTAGCACCCAGGCTAAGAGGGCGATCGGTTAGCTACTATTCCTTCCTATATTGCAAGCCGACCAGACAATAGAAAAAGGACGAAGAACATTCACAATGCAGGCTTGATGATCAAAGCGAGTTAAAAGGCAGGCAATGCTGTGAAACCCTGAGAAAAATTATGGCCGAGGAGGATGGGCAGAATTTGGGGGAGAGACCATGGTCTGAAGCGCCTGAGCTCAGGGCAAGCCTCTTACGTCGAGGGAATGGAGGTGGACTTGCGGTGGACTCACCTGGGAAGGAGCAGCACTCGCCCAAGATGCTTCCCGGCTGCCTATTAGCTTCCGGTATTGCAGCTCCCATCCCGCCTCCAGCCTCCCCAAACTACATTTCCCGGCAGGTCTTGCGGCGCGCTCTGTTTTAGCGCTCACGGTGTCTCCTCTTCCAATCACACGCCACTAAGCCATTCATGGAGGCAGCCTATTGTTTTTTAAGGGCGATGGCTACTCAGAAGTACGTCCTGTTAAATTTAGTGGGGCTTACTCCCATGTCAGTAGAATTAGGATTGCAGTTTAAGTAGCACAACACCCATCATGGAGATGAAAGCTGCATGGTTCCTTAGAACTTTTCCCCCAAGGGAGAGAGAAAGAGAGAGCGCCGTTCAGGAAACTGGGAAAATCTAGGATTTTTAGCGTAGTTGTGGTTGGACAGCGATCATGTTCATACTGTTTCTAACGTAAAGCTTCTGTCGCGTGGAAAGTGTCCTAAAATTGCTCTAAAATCATCAATTCCAAGACAGTGAGAGTACTTTGATTTTATTACCTCCAAACCAGAGGCAGGAAGGACCAAGACGGGTGTGGATTTGTGTTTAACGCCCCACCACCACCACCCATCAGCCCTCATGTTGCAGGAAGCAATGTCGGCCTCCGTTCAGTTGCCTCCTCAGAGCCGATCTCCGAGCCAAAATCCAGCGCGCTCAGCTGCATTGAGAAGCCTCGCGCTCCCTTGAACGTTCACGCAGAAACCTTATAGTTTCCAAGTTTTAAAATATTTTTATCATTATTTTTAACACCCCAAATATGCGAATTCTTCATATGAAACTAAGTTGCAAATAGTACGACATCCTCTCTTGGTTTGCTTTCTCCAGTGAATACACCGCTGAACAAATACTGTTCTACTCAAAACCGAGTGTATCCTCACAACCCGCTCCCATTATACGGGCAACTCTCCCTTCTGCCCAGGGAAGGGGTGTGAACCGCACAAAGAAACCCGGAAGTCCGCATCCTCCGTCCAGTCTAACCCATTTAAGTCCGCAGAGCTGTTCGGCGGGTGCCGGAAACCGGAAGCGCGAAAGGGGCGGTTAGCAAAAATAAACAACCGTCTGGCTGGGGGTTGGCGACTCAAGATGGCGGCGCTGCGGCCGAGCCGTTTGGGGCTGGGGTCTCTTCTTCTCCTGCTGCTGCTCGCTGTGGGCGACGAGGCGGCCCGGCCCGAATTAGAGCCCGCTCCGGAGTCCCTCTCCGAGTCTTTCGAGCCGGCGCTGGGGAACACCGCCCCTTGCCAGCGGACGTGCCAGAGCACCTACCCGCTCCATACTTATCCCAAGGTAACAAGCGGCGGGGGGGGGGGGCGCCCCACCTTCCCTACTGAAATATTCCGCCACCCCCCAAGAACCACGTCACGATAGCAGCCAGTTAGTGGGACCTTCCCTTTTCATCTTGCCACCTGCATTTAAGCCCCGGGCGCTCCTGGTTTCTTAAATAAAAAAATAAGAATCTGACCCTGGGTTGCGGGCAGGAGGGGCAGCCCCTGCGGCATCGCTGCTTATATTTAATATATCTCCCCACCACCACCCTCAGTGTAGGGATGCGACCGTGGCTTGTTTTCCTTTCGCTGTGCAGCCCTGGGGGCAACTGGCAGCCGGGGCTGAATATTCTTCTTGGCAAGGAAAGGGAATGGGAAGGAAGCCACACTCCCTGCGGCGACTGCTGCTCCTCCTTTGGCCGGTGGATGGGGCCTGACTGGTTTTGCCAGTGCTGCGATGCCCTTCCTGGGGTTGCAACCGCCAAGCGGCTATTAGAGCGCGGACGGATTTCTCACCTGGTAATCTTTGACTGCCTGAGGTGGGGCCTCGCAGCTTGGCTGGGTGCAAGTGGGAGTCTCTACAGTTGCTGTCCGCTAAGTTCTGTGCGATCAGCTCTCCTCCACTTTCCTCTCCTCAGCTTGTTGGGCTGGCTAGTACACAAAGGAAGTGTGCAAAAATAAATCCTTCACGTGTACCAAAATGCAAAGTGGCATGATTTATTGTTGTTACCTGTTAGCTGCATTCCTCATAGAAGTGGCCCGAAGAGACTTACAAAATGCTGGCATAGGTCTCAGCTGTCACCTGCACAGCTACCACATATCTGCAAAAGGCTGTCAACTTTCAGGAAAAGGAAAACTGCTAAGATAAGGTATCTGGAACTGCCTTCAGATTTTGGTTTCTCTGCAAGCACTTTTGTCAGCTGGTCTGAAGGCCAAATAATGGTTGGGCTAATGATTTTCACATTGATTGACATATGGAAACGGAAACTTTTCTATGTTTCCCCATGAGATACTAAGGCTGCAATTTTAGGTGCATTACCTGAGATTAAACTCTAACTAATTCAATGGAATCTGCTTTTTAGTAGGCATGCATGGGATTGCACTCTTATTTCTCAGCAAACTGCAAAGTAAAATGTATTGTGTCTATATCATCTACAGGATTTGATCTCTACATTTTTATTACAAAAATATAGTTGTCATTATAGCCCACTTTCCAGCCTATATAACTCCCCCAATTCCACATCTAGAACCAAAATAGTGACACTTTGCTGACTTTTATACTACTGTAAATTCACTAAGAGTGTTTGTTCAGTATCTGTCCTGATATCTTTCCTAACTCTCTTCTTCCCAGTGCACACATGGAGCTGAGAAAATTATTCTTTAATTTCACCCACCCAGCCCAGTATTTGTGTAGCTTCTTGTAGCTACCTGCTTCTTACCGTACAAGATAACAGGTTTCTCCTCAATGTTAGGTCTTTACCTGTCATGATGATTATGCCAAGATGTTAACATAATGACACATCAGACCAGGGCTTCTCAGCAAACATGCTCCTTCATATCTCTGCCAAAATTCCTCCTTTCACATCCATATTATTGTTAGCTACTGTATGTCTTCCATGCCGTTGTTTGCCATTGCACCCATCAGTGTAATCAATACTGCTTTAAGACATTGACACTGTTACTTTCCTTGATAGATACCTATGGCACTGTTACTACACAGAAAATACATAGTTACACAATGCATTGTCATTTGATTGTTGAACAGCATAAGAATTACCATTTTGGAGCATGTGTGTTACACCTGCTTTCAGGTTCCTGATTAAGACTGAAATATTCATAATAGATAAATATCTAGCTTAAGAAGAAGAAGAAGAAGAAGAAGAGTTTGGATTTGATATCCCGCTTTATCACTACCGTAGGGAGTCTCAAAGCGGCTAACATTCTCCTTTCCCTTACTGCCCCACAACAAACACCCTGTGAGGTGAGTGGGGCTGAGAGACTTCAAAGAAATGTGACTGGCCCAAGGTCACCCAGCAGCTGCATGTGGAGGAGCGGAGACGCGAACCCGGTTCCCCAGATTACGAGTCTATTGCTCTTAACCACTACACCACACTGGCGAGAAGGGGTCCATATGTTGACTCCACCACACTGGAGAAGGGGTCCATATGTTGACTGGGGAGAAAGGTAAAGGAACCCCTGACCGTTAGGTCCAGTCGTGGACGACTCGGGTTGCACGCTTATCTCACTCTGTAGGCCGAGGGAGCCGGCATTTGGCTGCAGACAGCTTCCAGGTCATGTGGCCAGCATGACTAAACCATTTCTGGCGAACCAGAGCAGCGCACGGAAATGCCGTTTACCTTCCTGCTGGAGCGGTACCTATTTATCTACTTGCACTTGACGTGCTTTTGAACTGCTAGGTGGGCAGGAGCTGGGACCGAACAATGGAAGCTCACCCTGTCGCAGGGATTCGAACTGCCAACCTTCTGATCGGCAAGCCCTAGGCTCTGTGGTTTAGACCACAGCGCCACCCGCGTCCCTAGACTGGGGAGAAAGGATACCTCAAATACAGGTTGGTCAAAAGCAGTGCCACCCACCCCTAACTCAGGACAGCCACTCCAGAAGGATATCATGGTCAGTGGTATCAAAAACTGCTGAGAGGTTGAGGAGAATTAACCAGGACCTATTTCCTCTGTCTCTCTCCCAACAGAGGTCCTCATACAGGGCAATCGAAGCAGTTTCTGTTCCAAAACAGAGCCTAAACCCTGATTGAAATGGATCTAGAAAATAAATTTCCATCAAGGGCACCTGGATCTGGTCCACGATCACCCACTCAAGATAGTTTATATTTGTGCAGCTTGTTCCAAAGTAAACTAAATAATAATATTTTATTCAACATCTTGGTTTCATATTTGTATAAGGTGTTTCAAGGCTCAGATACAAGACTTGTATTAAAGCCTACTTTTACTAACCTCAGTAGTCTGCTGAAGTCTCAGTGAAAAATCTTGGCTCACTCTTGTAGCTCTGTGAAATAATAAAAGCAAAAGATTTTTGAAGTTAAACTGTGCAGCACATTGTGTATGTCTTTGTGGTATGAGTAGGGTTAGAGTAGGACGATTATAAAAGAGTGATACTGACCTCTTAGGTTTTCATTACCAGGAAGAAGAGCTCTATGCATGTCAAAGGGGCTGCAGACTCTTCTCCATTTGTCAGTTTGTGGATGATGGGATTGATTTGAATCGGACCAAGTTGGAATGTGACTCTGGTAAGTTAAGCTAGCCTCTTTTTCAGCTTGTAATATATGGGTGGTCACCACTTTTCTTCCTACTCAGAGTAGGCTGATTGAACTATATTGACCAGTAACTTTATTTCAGTCAGTCTACCCAAAGTGTGACTTAGTTGGATATCTCCCTAGGAGAAGAATTAACACCATGATGTTAATTGATTAACATCAAGAGAGTTCAGCAAGGAGGAAGCTTCCAAAATCATGCCACAAAATAAGTGTCCACATAAGGGCATGAAATCTGATTTATTACAAAGTCAAAAAGTAAATTTGGCTTAACGTCAGCATGTGTCAGCCACAGATACCCTGTCATCAGGGAAATCTATAACAAAATAATAAGCCTTAAAACATGCACTTTGTCACATTTTGTTAGTTATCATAAAATATGTCATTGCAAGCTTAAAAATAAAATGAGAAAATAAACAAAAGCTTGCAACGTAAGAGAATGTTGTGATATAAAATATAATAATAGTGTTGATGCCTTAAGATTTTTGTAATTGTAGCTTCTCCTTTGAAAGAGAATTTTTCTGAAACAAAGAGGAGTTTTCTGAGATGAAAGAAAGTGTAATTAAGAAGTTTTCAGTCACAAAGTTGCTTGCAGCTGGGATGGGAATCTCTCAGTCCCAAAGCTATTTGCAGCTTTGTTGAGACAGTATGGGTCTTGCTTCTACTGTATGAGATAGGTCTGCACCCCGTCATAAGATTGAGCCTGTCATGGAAGAGAAAGTTCTGTTTCCATGCTGAATTGGACATTAAATATAAACATTCATGAATAATAATCTTGTAAGTTTTGATTGGAAGTAGATCCATTGACTTGAGTAGTGCTCACTTCAAGTAAGCGCACATAGCATTGCAGCCCTAATTGGCTTGCTGAGTATACAGTTCTGGGAAGAGTTTATTTTCCCTCTGCAGTTTCTCTGTATACAATTGTTATTTTCACTCTGCGATGCTATTATTTTTCCTGTCTCCTATCTAAAATGTTGGAACTGGAGCCTTTTAGAAGTTGCATCCTGACAGAGTTGGCAAAACTGAAAGCTAAGTATATAGCTCAGGGGGCATACTGAAAGTGAGTGGGTATTCTGGTTTTATCCTGCCCCTCTTTGATATTTCTGTCACTTGGGGGGTGTTTTTACAGATCCTGAATGCTGAAGTGTAGTTCAATTTTGCCTCTCTTTTATCTCACCACTGACATAATTGGATTGGAAAGATGAGCGTCAGGAAGGGAAGTCCAACATTAGTAGCAATATGTGTGGTGTTGCACCCTAATATTCAAGTGTGCTTTAGCTGCTTATGTGGAAGGTGTGAACATTTAAACTGAAAGAATGTGTCTTTTACAGCATGTTCTGAGGCATATACCTCTCAGTCTGATGAACAATATGCCTGCCGTCTTGGATGCCAGAATCAGTTACCATATGCTGAACTGAGACGAGACCATGTAAGTATTTATATTAGAGTGAGTGAATACATTTTCTCTGCTTGTATTCTTCAACCCATTCTTCAACTATTTTAAAAGTAAATTGTGGAGAGAAGCTCTGTGACATGTTTGAAATTTTTGCTTTTATATTAATATGTGAATCACTATTTATTTGCAGCTCATGTCCTTAATGCCAAGAATGCACCTTCTATTCCCCCTTACGCTTGTGAGATCATTCTGGAGTGATATAATGGAAACAGCCCATAGCTTCGTCACCGCCTCATGGACTTTCTACCTTCAAGCTGATGATGGCAAAATAGTAATATTCCAGGTACTTGCTAACCTGCTCTTACCTGTTCTGCCATAAGAGTTCAAGAGAACTAAGGGAGGGTGTTTTTTGTTATTCTGTTTTAAATCAAATAACTCCATGTTGAATGTCTGGGAGTGTTCTGTTTTATTGGGTTTGCTCTGCTTAAAAATATAATGTGTCTATTTAAATTACAGTTTGTGTCATTATGTAGGTAAATATGTTAGGTTTGTTTCACTAATTTGAAGGTTTTGTTGTTATTTCAGTCAAAGCCAGAAGTTCAGTTCATTGAAAGTCCTGGTCAGGAAACACAGGATTTAAAAGAACCATCATTTCGCAAAGCATCTTGTAAGTTGTTTTAGGGAACTTCAAGGAATAGAATATGGTTTGCCAAACAGTAAGGATGTACTGTCAGTGTCTGAGCGGCAATTTGTATCCATGATTAGATAACTGTGGAAACCAGTAGCTTATTTTTTAAGATGCTTACTGTTTGGAATTTGCTTGATGACACAATCTTTGTCTGATGTTTAAACATGGCAACTGAAACTTGTTTTTACAAGTTTTGTACTTCAGTTGCTTCATTGGCTCTGGTTCAGCAAGACACTGCATATTGCAAATGTAAGAAACAAACCCACAAGATATTTTTTAGCTGTTCGCTTTTTCCTAGGACTTCCTTCCAGTTAAAAAGGGGGCACTGCTCAATCTTAACATTTATTTAAAGAGTTTGCTGTGTCTAGCAGGAGGATTTACCGGAAGGAAAAAAGGTTGGGTAGACATTTCATAGCATACAGAACGTATTGAGCATATGTGTCTTGGATTCTGTGATAAAATTAAACAAAAATGTACTATGATTTTCAGTAGATCTGCAGCCAGGAGGTCCACAGACACACAAGGGATTCTTTGACGAAGATGAAAGTGATAACTTCTTCAAATGTGTTTCAATGTATGTACATTTTAGCATATGAAGCATAAGAAGGGAGAGACATGTTTCATTCCCTAATGCTGTATATCACATGTAGTTCAACTACCAAAACAATCGTGTGAAATGTTTTCACAAAACATTTTCTTAAAATTAACATTCTGACATTCTAACATGCTGTATCTAATTGAATGCTCTCTAAAAACAGGAAATGCCCATAGTGGCACAACTTTTACTACAAACATGCTGCTTGCATTGAACATTGTTTCCAAACTCAGACCATTCTTTAATATTACTGTGTTAGGTCTATCTGTAAGTAAAACAAAGTTCTGAGCAAAGCTGTTGGCTCACATAATATTGAGGGTCAGTTTTAGTATGAAAGGTGCTAAAGTAGTTGTGCTTTTAGGCTTGTGGCAGTGATTGTTAACAGCTTTGGATCCTAAACCAACTTCGAAAGGTCTTAAGTTCTTCTGAGCCTAGTAACCGTAGTTCCTGGTTCAGATGAAATTGAAAACTGGTTAACTGAAAAAGATTTCTGTATTTCATTCAGGCACACCATGAAAGGAAATCACTGTATTTCACAGGCATACTGTCTGTACATATCTCGGCTTATTAAGCTGAGACATGATCATGTGATCATTTTCACTGAAGGTAAATGGTAATGGGAAACAATAACCTCTTATTAGATCTTGAAAGCTCAAAGACAGTAGCTTTTGCTTATTTTCTGGGACCAGATTAAGGTACAGTAGTTGACTGTGGTGGCATCTAAGTCTGCCTATTTTGGATTGAGTGTGTGTAGAAACAATATTTAGGGGGGATACAATTTTCAATATACCTCAAGCTTGTCTTTATGGCTGATCTGTTTTCTTATATTACAGAAATTCTGGCTGGATACTAACAACCACACTTGTCCTTTCTGTACTGGTGTTGCTCTGGATTTGTTGTGCAACTGTTACTACTGCTGTGGAGCAATATGTTCCATCTGAGGTAACTTAAGTCCTAAATTTTCCAGGATCCTATCACATTATATTCTGTGATATCAGAATGCTTTGGGTTTGATTAGAGCCCTTTTGTGCAGAAGAGAGTATCTAATGATTCTCTTGTTAATGAAACAGGATTGTGAACATATATATTGATTATATATTGTAAGAGGTCTCACCTGCTTGTAGCTAACCTCCAATGAAATTGCCAATTTAATCAGCTGATGTGATCACTGGGGCAAATACAGTATGGAATATGTAAACTGGTAGTGACAGTTCATGCTAGCTTTTTCAGGAAAACAAAAGATAACAAGAGTGGTTTCATGGGATGAGTTTTGACACCTCGCAGCTGAAGCAAAGCATGCACGTGATTTTTGCTTAGCAAGGTGACATTCTCTAGATTTGGTGGGCATTTCTGTGAGGTTGCAGTACTGAAGCCATCTCAGTTCATAAAAGTTATAGTACAGTTGCAAAAAAAGGGAGAGGCATTTCTGGTAGCAAATATGCCCGAAAATGTTAATGTAAATAAAATACCATTGTAGAAGTCATATTGATAGCCATGCATATATTATGTAACATACAAAATGCTATGCAGGATTAGATCAAGATCTATCATCGAGTAGTTTGTGGAGCCATATGCAGCCATTTTAAAAAGCGGTGCTCAGCTAAAGGGCTAATTATGTTTCAGATGTAATGTCCAAAATCTTTATTAAAATTTGAAGTCTTCCATTGCTACTTCCTACTAATGCACAATTTAATTGTGCCTTTTCTTTGCCGGTGTCTCAAAGCCTTGAAAATTTCACTCATAAAGACTTGTTTAATATCTTCTACTCCTCACCCCTACCCCCCAACCCTATGGTTCTGGAGAGTGAACTAAAAGTGTGTGGTCCTGTTTAACAGTATAATCCTAGGCATGTTTACTTGAAAGTAAGTCCCACTGACTTCAGTAGGAGTTATTCTCCAGTAAGTGTGCATAAGATTTTAATCATGATATCCATGCACCAAGATGTACTGGAATAAAACTTATTGTGTGAAATGATTTCCATCTAACATCATTTTGTTGTTGTTGTTATTATTTTAGAAGCTGAGTATCTATGGGGATTTGGAATACATGAATGAACAAAAACTGAATCGATACCCAACTTCTGCTCTCATTGTGGTTAAATGCAAGGCTGATGAAGAAGAAGCTGGACCTCTACCTACGAAAGTTAACTTGACTCAGTCAGCAATATAGATTTAAAAAATGAATTCATTATCTTATTCTAAGACTTCTGTTAACTTTGGTGACTTTTTCCAATGAAGAGGCTTTTGCCGGGGTAGTCAAAATTCAGATTCAAATAAAGTTACATAATTGATTACTGTTCTACTGTCATGGAATTCAATCTCATTTTCCACAAGTAAAGGAAATTGTGTTGAGCAAATGGGGTTTGTAGAGAATTTACATTTATTTGCATCTTTTTTTTTTCTTTTTTTTTTTTGCTTACCAAAAATCATAAGTATTGTCTATACATTAAGGTTGTGGTATTTTCAAATTATGAACATCTGTTGGTATCAGAGTGTATATTTGGAATCTTGTTTCTAATAGTGTAAGGAATTTTTTGTGGTCAAAGATGCCTTTTAAGTTGTCTTCTCAGCTGTGGATAAATGAAACTAACATGTAGAATTGCTTAGAAATCCTTATTGCTTCAAATGGCTCATTTTCCACAATAAGAGTACATTTTTATTGACCTTTGTGTCAGTTTCTGGCACTGAAGTACTGTGGGTCAGAAATAAAACTTTAATGTATAGAGGAATCTATTATGGTGTCACTTCTGTATCCTAAAACAAATAAGCTTCCCTGGCTTTCATTTGCTACACTTGTTAGCTCAGAGAAATGACTAATTTAAACAACAACAACCTTTCCCTAAAAAACAGGCAACATTGGTGGCAGACAAAAATTTCTGTGTATATTGGACATTGGTATATTTGACATTGACTTGTTCACAAGAAGTCTCTTGACTCTCACACTCCTTCACACACCAGTTGAAATTGATAAATGCTACTTTCAATTTTAAACTAGCCACACTTCCCTCTTACGTAGATGCCAGCCAAGATCTGAAACCATGGTTTGATCCTGGCTTGTGTTCGCTATACAGAGCTGTTGCTGGGATCTGTTAGTTCAAAATTGAAATAAAAAGTTTTCAATTTCTTCCTCTGGGGCACAAAGCAGGGAAGATACTCACAAGCCCAAGGATGTTGGAACTCATTCTTGGAATAGATAATCATGGTTTCCCACTATGCATAAACCCAGACACAGTTTACACTTAACCCTATCTGGGACATGGCCAGCTTTTAAAAACCTACTTAATGAATAAGAATAAATCATTACGTTGAGGCTTGTGACCAAACAAATGTCTAATACAGTTTTATAAATCAGTACTTTCCAGGGGAGTTTGCAAGTTCTAATTTATTGTTAATATAATTCTAAATGTGTTGAATTGGGAATTTTATTTCAGTATTTTTTTACAAGTGCTCTAAAAATCTTTAATGTTTTAAATTTTATTTAACCCTTGCTAATTGGTAAAAATGTTCTGAAAAATAATAAGCATCTTTATTTGGTTTACTGAAGTGTCCATGCTTCAAGTAAATGATGAACAACAGAAGAGGAAGCTATTGTAAACTCTACGGTGAAGTGACAAGCCAATAAAATTGGTATGCCATTCTCTATAAATATCACTATTGAAAGCATCTCTGCATAATTATAAAGTTGATGATTCTCTAATATAGTGGTGGTAGAAAATGAGGCTTTCTGTCTAAAAGTTGATCAATGGGAGCCTAATAGAATAACTTGCAAGGGCAATCATTAAGCAAGTTATATTGCTGTGGTTTCATCTAGTCAATACAAATTCTGAAGTTTAAAACTTGCCCTATTTCTTAAAGCGAGAAACCATGAACACTCCTTTACTAATCTGTGAAATAGTTACTTTCAAGCAACTTTTGCAGCTCAGTTGCTGTTTGTGTTGTACGATAACTTCTGCAATGTCAGTTGTCTTGATTTTTCACTTGCTGGGCTAAAATACCATTGTATTATGCGCCAATTATTTCAACTACATTTGCTTTAACTTATACATTTGTTTTTCATTTGGATTCTTGTTTTAGGAGATGCCTTTGCAAAATAATCCAGACTATATACAGTAAAGGTTAAATGGACTGAAATGTAGTACCCTTACTTTGAAGGTTCAGTATTGTTGAACTAAGGATTCCATATTGCTATGATGTTACTGGATTCTTCTCTCACTGTGACAACTTGAGCTGAAATCTGTTTAAAGGTCTACAATAAATCAATGGCTAAAAGAACTAGTGTAATGTACTACTTTCCTTAGGAAGAGAAGTCAGTGATCCCCTGTTAGCAACTGTGTCAGTCTACCAAATTTCAGTTGTGGTTGGTCTGAAAAGCAACACTGAAAGCTCTCTTCCGGTGATTCAGATCAGCCGTTGAAAAATACCTGTACATTAAATATAAAACATTGATCTTGTTTCATACTTCATTTCACAGAACTGAACTGTTCTGCTCCAGCTTTGGAGATCAATAAAATCCATTGTGTTCAGTAACAAAGATAATTGATGTCTTAATAGGGCTTAAGCATTGTTGTGTCTAATAAGACTACAAAAGCCTATATTATGAACACGCCTCAAAATTAACTGTGGCTGAACTGAATATTGGGCTACCCGATCAGTTTCGCCTTGCTAATTTTTTCAGAAAATATGCAAGTATCCATCTATTTTCTGGACCATTTTCAGGTTTGGCTCCTAGCACTAGGTGCCCTTATCTTAGGTAGACTTGATGGTGAAACTTAAGGAGCTTTGTGTATTTACTGAAAGAGGAGAGTTGGCCAAGGCAAGGTTCCTTGGCAGAATTGATTGACATGCCTTACATTAGAGATGGAAATATGTGGCATTCCAGGAGTTATTGGGGCTACAGCTTCCCATCAGCTTTGACCACTGGTCATGGTGGCTGGGACTAATGGAAGCTGATCTCTAGCTCCTCCCAGCCTTGACTTAGGTCATTTCTAAACTGCATTTTTCTGGAACCCCAAATGTTCTGGTAATGAGTCTTAATTCTAGCTCCAGAATGAGCTCTACAGCAGAGGAGGGCAATATTTTTGGCTTGAGGAACACATTCCCCTCTGGGCAAATGTCAGAGGGCTGCCCGCCAGAAGTGGGTGGAACCAGAAGCAAAAGTGGCTGGAGCAACAAATGTACAGTACACATATTCAGTTTCTATACACATTTACACCCTTTTCCATGCAAGCAAGAGGCATTGGAGTCTACAGGCACATTCCAACCAGGCAAAAATACTGTATGTATTAGGGCTAATGATGGGTGTTGCCTGAGGAGAGGGGCTGTGGCCTGGGCAAAGTTCTGAGGGCCAGACATAAGCTGGAAGGGGGTTGCATTTGGCCCCACCTCTGCTCTACACGTTCCTGCAAGGGCCTTATTGAAGGGCCAGTGGTTTGTTTCCTTCGAATAGCTGAGCTTTAACATATTGGAAGGTTCTGCCTCAAAATCTTCAGTCCACTGCATCAAAAGATCAGTGCTTTATAAACTGTGATCATAAAACTGAAACAAAGTTCAGTCATTAGTACAGACATATTTTTGTTCGTTCAGTGGGAAAAGTCCTTAAAGGGTTTGAACCTTTCCGCACTTCCATCTAAACATCGTAACTTGTCGATTGAAAGAAAAGAAAGAAAAGTTGTTTTATAAATTAACCCCCCCACACACATTTAATTATTGTGAGAGTGTATTTAAAGAAGGAAATAAGCACTACAACCATGAAACAACTTGTGTAAACAGAAGATTTACAGTTATAATCTACTTTGCGATATCAGCTAAAATGGAACACTTCCTAAACCAGGTTAGTAGAGAAGAAACCAAAGGGTTGGCACCTGTATCAAAATACTTTAAAGTTAAGAACATGAAACAAGCAATTTATTCCCTAAAGCTTTGAAAGGGCAGCATTCATGCCTGTAGTGTATTTCCAGTGTTACTCAGTGCTACCTGTGTGTGACATTTAGTAATATGCCCAGTAGGGGCTGAGACATTTTTTTATTATTTGTGGCACTAGCTAGAGGAGAAGCTAATGGGGATTCTTGAGTTTATGCTTACTCTGTTTCATAGGTATGAATGGGGTTAGAATGACTTTCTTCTTCCTACCTCTGTTTCTCTTAGTAGCCTGGTAACGTTACCCCAGGAATGTATTTAGTGGCTTGGTGAGCTAATAAAGCAAGGCAGCTTGAAAGAGGCTAGTTCCTCCTTTCATACCTAAGCAACACAGTTTGAAGTGAACATTGATGGAAACATTGCCAGAACAACTCTGCCTATTAATTAGCATAATCCTGCAGCAGTCAGGGGGGAAATGAACAGAATTCATCCTCAGGTAATAGCATCCATTCTATTGTGGGGGGGGGGATGTAATTATTACTTTTAATACGATTGATCAGCTAGCTCTTATTGCTATTAGAAAGTAGACACGCTGGAAACCTCTGTATCTCTATTTTACCAGTAGCAAACTGGAATCAAAACTAAAAATTATAGTTTTAATTAAATCTCTGTATGTTAGTTACATGTTTTTGAATGTATGCAGATAGGGATTCTATCTGAATACTGAATGCACCGTAATTACAGACAATGTAATGCCTTGTGTTTCCTTAAAAACAATCTTCTCCCTCACAATGAAGGCAATATAATTTTATTTTATTTCTGTTAATTACAGAATATTGAAGGAGCTTCATTTGGTTCAACAAAATCTCTCTTTACTGCTAACAGAGGTAATTGGTACCCTTACTAACAAAAAGCAGTTCAAAAATGCTGGGAACTGATTAGTTTATGAACTAAAGTTGTCCTTTCAAAAAGAGGAAATCTCTGCTTATATACTACTTGGCTCATATACTTCTTGACAAATGATGTTTCTATAGTTTACAGTATTTGAAAGTTGTTTCATTTTCAGTAGCATATTATTTGGCTACAAAATGAAAAATGCTTTTAGTTCATTCAAAAGCAGTATCCTATAGGCAGTGGTCTGTTGTTAGAAAACATACAAGTATAACTCATCAGGTATGTCTTCATAACAATATGAAGAGTCTTCTTAATTGTTGGTATGGTTTTAATACATTTTATTGGCATTATACCCCAGTTTGGATTTAAATTATAATGAACAGTGGGTAACAAATTGCATTTTTAAAAATACATTAAAATATTTTAGTTGCAGCATTTCCTGCATTCTTTTCTTCTTACTAGAGTGATGGATGAAACTAAAAACTAAAAACAAATATGCAGTGGGGGACAGGAAGAGGGAGATCATCCCCCACACACTCCATTTCAACTTTTATAGCTTGCTTCATTGCTGCCTATGCAACTTCTGTCTTGTACCATAGGTGGATTCTAGTACAAAAGCTTTGAGGGAAGACATTGCAATGATTCAAGGCAGTTGCAGCTAATTCTTAAGTACCTTGTAAAAGGAAGGCAGTTAATCACCTAAAGGCAGGTTATGAGCACTGGGAGTGAGATTACACAATACATTAGTCAGCTAATTTTTACTATTTATACCCCACACATCTTGCTAGATTGCCCCAATCACTCTGGGCAGCTTCCAATATATATAAAAACATAATAAAACATTAAACATGAAAAAAACCCTTCTCTATACAGAGTTGCCTTCAGACGGCTCGGAGGTCGGATAACTCCATACCCTCCAACATTTCTCCAATGAAAATAGGGACACCCTAAGGAAAAATGGTACATTCAGGGATCAAATCAGAAACCGGGACGGCTTCTCTAAATCAGGGATGTCCCTGGAAAATATGGACACTTGGAGGGTCTGGTAGAGCACATGCTTTGTTCCCAGATTCAATCTTTTTGACATCTCAAATTAAGAAGACACTTTAGTGAGCCATTGCCAGTCAGAGTAGAGAACACTGGACCAAATAAATAAATGGTCTGACAGCAGCTTCATATGTTCATAAAGTGCTACCACGTAATTTAGCTTTGAACAGGGATAGGAAACCTTAGGCCCAGATACCAAATGTGACCATCCAGTACTCTGTCTGGCCCATAGCTGTCAACTTTTCCCTTTACTTGCGAGGAATCCTTTTCGGAATAAGGGAATTTCCCTTTAAAAAAGGGAAATGTTGACAGTTATGATGTGGCCCTCAAGACTCTCCTTAGGCTACACTGTCCCTCCTCTGCACTCTCCTGTGGTGTCTTTGCTTGCCTTTCTTTCTTTCTTTCCTGGAGGATGGACAGGTGTGGGTGTGTGAAACTTCTGACTTTGCTTACCTAGAAAGTAACTGCCTATACAAAGGTAAGCATTGTATCTGTTGCTCCACCTACTTTTTCCTCTGGCCCTGCCCACCGGTGGCATGTGACCCCCCCACGCCCAGAAGGGAATGCAACCCTCAGACTGGGGAAAAAAGTACTAGAACCAGAGGTGGAGCTAGCTGCTCCAGCTCCCGGAGCAGGGTGCACTTGGGGGCAGGGCTAGCCGCCCACAGAGGCGGGGCGAGCATCCCAGGGGTGTGGAGCATGTGTCCCAGGGGGGTGCGCCGGCCGCTGCGAGCCTCCTGGAGGGTGCGCCGGGCGGCGCAAGTCTCCTGGGGGGGTGCAGCCTGCGGCGAGCTTCGGGGGCAGGGCAGCGATGTCAACCCCCCTCAGGGATGGCACCCAGGGCGGACCGCACCCACCTTTCTCCACCTCTGCCTAGAACATACATTGGCTCTTGAGAAGCAAGAAGATGAGCTTTGCAGAAGGTCAGCCACTTGCACTTAAGGCAACAGGAAGCATCTTGATTATTGTGAAGAAACATATTTTTATATATGTGAAGAAATGCAAATATTAGGGCATGACCTACGTGTTACCAGCATTATTTTTTTAGCATAAATGGGACAGGTGTATGTGTTAAGTGTGGTACGAGTTGAAACCTTTGGGTATAAAGTCTTGTACAGTTATGTTCTATATAACATAGAATTAAATACCCATGGGATAATTTCAATATGGGTTAATTAGTAGGGAGTAGCAGAAGCCAATGTCCTCAGTATGGATTTTCGTACAAATTTAGTGTGAGGGTATATTTGGAATTGATCTTTAAGTCTTCCCTCTGTGACAGGTACTATACAGGGCCTGCAAGGTTGTTGCAAGGATTGCTGTGCATGCATCCCTTGCACCCAACAATGTATCTGCGTGTCTGCCATTGGTCTTGGTATACTTGGTGTCATCGCTACTGTCATTGCATTGGTGGTCACAATTGGCATCCCTCCACATACACCAGGTCAGTCATTTCTAGCTTTCGTTATTATGATGGTGACCAAACTACTGCCAACTGGAGTAATACTTTCAATGGGGCTGTGTCCAGTGTTTCTTCTACTCAGAGTAGACCCATTGGAAATAATGGGCAAGACTAAGGCCACATGTGCACAATGCCACCTTAAATAGTCATGGCTTTGTTGGAAATCTGGTAAGGCACAAGACACAATCCATCCGGCAATTCTCACATGCAAACTCTATTGCAATCAACATGAGCAATGCAAAAGCTTCCATATATTTGCAAACTCATTCATGGCCATTATTTATGTGTGATGCATCCCAACATGGCTATGGGTCAAAACTGGATTATTTGAATGTGTCACTATAGTACTGGGGGTTGGGGTCTGATTAGGTCTGATCATTTCTTTGTCAGTATCCTCCATTGTTTCATCTCAATTTTATTTTTCAGTAAATCGTTTATGTGTGACCTCCGGTAATCAGACAGGCTTTTTATGTGACAACAGAGCTAGCTGCATTCCAGCCAGCCAGGTCTGTGATGCAAGACAAAATTGTGCAAATGGGGAGGATGAGCAAGGGACACTATGCGGTAAGAATATTTGCTTAAATCCCCCTCTTACCATGCCCAGTTAATGCCTCATGCTTTTCCCCACCATAACTCAGCCATTTTATAAAGCTTCAAGCTATAGCAAGTTAGGTGGTGAGGAAGACAGAAGCAGACTGAGGATGAGGTCACACATACATGTTCTGCAATCAGTCGATACAGCATCTAGTGATTATTTCCATGTGTGAATAGACAAGAGAACAGAACAGCAGCATCAGGATTCAGGACCTCTTCAAGTGGACTGATGTAGCCTGAATTGAAGTTGTAGGTTGAAGCCAAGTCGTGAACTCTGCCAGGAGTTCTCACATATCAATAACAATATACCTGCAGCCCAGGCATCACTTGGAAGAAGACTATTTCAGTTTCTACTTTAATAAATCCTCAAAATGAGATTTGATTTTGATTATTTAACTACTATGTTGTTGTTGCTGGCATCCGTCTGTCTTGAGAGACACTGGAGTGCGCCTCTGGGGGTTAAGTCAAACCACTGTGTTAGCAGCACTGAAGTGGCCTCAAAATATCTCTCAGCAGTGTAAAAAATACCTGAAGCACCAATGGATAACTTAAACAAGTTACATATAAAAAGTTACATTAACACAAAGTTGCATGTGTGTGTGTGTGTGTGTGTGTGTGTGTGTGTGTATCTCAATTAATTTTCCTTCTGACACACCCTTCCTCTCAGCCTCTGAGTTATCACCCAGGGTCCAAACAAACTTTCAGCTCAAGCTGAAAAGTCTCAAAACAATAAGAGTTCTAGAAACACCAGACATCACCCTAGTCTCTTACTCTAGACTTGCTTTTGTTTTGTTTTGGAGGGGCAGACCTAAGGTGGATTGTACTTCCTCAGGCTGCCCACAGCTGTGTCCCATTCAACTGCACTCTCCAAACTCGGTTGCAGGTACAGCAGTTTGTTGAGTTTCCCAGGGGGTCCTGTGGATGTGAAAAGGGCCCCCCCCTGCACACACTTCTCCTACTTCATCCTCTGTCCTCTCCTCTGCCTCCAGCTGCTATTTGGTAGTCTGTATATCTAAGCAAAGCCTTTAACAACATCCTTTATTATTGTTTTTAAAAGCCCTTTTAAAGAAAGAGATGGTAACTAAATAAATGTAGTTGCTTCAACAGAAATAGTGTGGATATTGCCTTAGTAAGTGAACTTCTGAATGACTTTCATTTTCCACCTGCAAAGTAAGGAGAGGGATGTTCTCTTCACAGACAATGTTTCTGGAATGAACTTCAACACCCCCCATGTATGCTGTTTTACTTTGAGGATCTACAGTATGCAGCTTACAATGCAAACTTGTACTTGTCTGTTCAGGAGTAAGCCCCACTGAGTTCAGTGAGAGTATCAAGATTGCCTCAGTTGTATTGTTATTTATTACTAATTACCACATTTTAAGCCACTGCTGTTTTTACCCAGTATATATTTTGCGCAGTACAGCATTTTCTCCCCTCACCACTTCTGCTTCTTTCTGTATTTTTTTGTAGATGATTTGCCCAACAACCTTCCAGGATACTTGATATTTTATTGCAGCAACCGCAAGGTTTGGGTCTATGCAGACAAAAAATGTAATGGAATCAATGATTGCGGTGACTGTTCTGATGAAGTAGGAGCTTGTAAGTCTTTTCTTACAAAGTTCTGCTTGTAGTTAATGGATAAATGGGAGCAGTGCCCAGGCAAGGCAAGTATTGCACCCCATAACCTCCTTGTGGGTGTTGCACGTGAGGCAACACAGCAGGCACACTTCACTGTGCCTCTGCTGCAACGGCTCCTCGTGGAGGTTACCTGCGGGTTGCCGCATTTGCCCTCTCAGCTTGTCAAACTCCCTGCGTGAGTGGTGGCTTGTGCTCCTTGGTGGGTTTGGTGGCATCCCTGCAGCGCCAGAGGTGAGTTGGCTACACTCCTCTCTGCGCCCCTTGCCCAAGGACACATGGGAGGAAGGCCTAAGGGAAGGACCGGTGCTGGCTGGGAAAAGTCCAGGGCTGGTGGGATTTCCGCCCTGAGGCAGATGTCTCTTCACTGGCCATGTTTTATTGTTTTTAATACCCTGTTGGAAGCCGCCCAGAGTGGCTGGGGAGGCCCAGCCAGATGGGAGGTGTCTAAGTAATAAATTAGGAGGAGGAGGAGGAGGTGCCACAACCCTGAAGGCCTGGCCTGGGCACAGCTCGCTTCCCCACAACTCCGTAAGGCAGTAGCCATGCAGCCTTGGCACGGGAGCCTGTCATGGGCATGCTAGGTTGCACCCCCTCAGAATTCTGTGCCCAGGGCCATGACCCCCCTCAGCTCCCCAACGCTGTACCACTTTGTGTGAAATATGCTGGACTGTAAGTCCTTCAGGTTGGTACAGCCCCTTTTCGTCTACCAGGATATCCTCTTTTGCATAGTGTCATCCTCTAGTTTAGGGACATGGGATTTTGCACTAGTTCCCAGGGACCAGTGGCCCTGCTGGCTGGGGCTGATGGGAGCTGGAGCCCAGCATCTGGTCCCCATCTCTGCTGAGTACATCTGTTACGCTTCTTTTTTATTCCAGGGGCCAGTTGCCCTCCTTGTGGGCCTCAATGGTGGGGATGCACCATGGTTGTCTTCCATATGTACTGTAGCTGCATTCCCAGACGTCTTTGCCGAGATGGAATACAGCACTGCAGTGACTGGTCTGATGAATACATCTGCACAAGATGAGCACTCCAGGACAGTAACCTTCAGAAAATAATGGGAGCTATCCATCAAATACTGCTGTTGGGGAATTGCCATACATATTTCTCAGAGGGGCTTGCAACGGATGCATTGTGTAGTGTTAGATGTGCTGCTCCCAGACCAGTGATCTTTCACCTTTTGAGCTCAGTAAAGTGTGTCTGCATGTGTGTATAACACCCTTGGCTTCCTCAAAACCCACTGCTACAAAAAGCGAAAGGAGGAAAAGAACGCCTGCTACCAAAAAATCTGGCTCAGACTTCCACACGTACTGGAAGCTGTGAAATCTTGCTTTGTAACAGAGTAAAGGACCAGGGACTCAGCTGTACAGCTGCAAATAAAATGTTTTAAGTGTGTTTTAAGTGCAATATACAATGTGACACTAGATAGCAATGGTGAGCCTTATGGAAAATTCAATGTATTTTTTTTAATATTTTTTTTTAAAAAAAGGGTTTCCAGAACGATTTTTATATGTGTGTAGAACTCAGTTCAGGTGGAATCCTTTTCACAATTGCAGACTGATCAATGGCAGCTATTGCACAAGCACTTACAGTGATGGAAACTAATTGGTATCTTATTCCTAGATGACATTTAAGAGGTCAGTGATTACTTGCCACGTGAACTCTCTATTTCCCCCCTCTCCTTTTCTCTGTTATTTTCCCTTAGTAAGCTATGGGCATTTGGGTGTTTGATGAGTAAAAGATCATTGATTTCAAACCATGCTGGTGTATTTGATACATTGCACTTGGGTCTACAATTTTATTGTATCTCAAAGCCCTCACCCTTTTATACCTCTAACATGCCTGGTGTGACCTGCAGCTTTTAGAGTGGAATGAACCCTTAAAAGTGAGAGCATTAGCTGTCAGTTGTAACTAGGATAAAGTGGTCTCAGAATAGTCTTCTGAGGAAGAGGTTTGTGAGACTTTCATATACTTATGTAGAAGTAGATATCGTCTTATATAATGGAACGGGTACTACAAACAGACCTTTACGTCAATATTCGTATCTGATAATCAGATTTCTACCAACATATACCATCAGACTAAAACGAATGACTCTTATTTCCTATTGTGACAAGTCATGCAATATAGATGGTGCAATAAACAAACATTTACAAGTTGTTAGTTGCCCAACTAAATCTTATTCGCTTCACAGCACATCATTAAATGCTAAGAGTGTTTAAACACTAATGGCAGATGAATGGGGTTAGGAGTCATGCTTATCTATTTTTCATTTGACAGTCACTTTAATTTACATATTGTATTAAATATGTTACTGCTTGAGTAAATAAAACTTGATTTTAGTATGTTTTATTATACTGTGCTAGCATGTGTTCCTCGGCAAAATTTGAAAACTCAGTCTCAGCTTGAAAGGAAACAACACACACACACACACAAAAATCCACAGCAATGAAGTGGAACAGTACCATGTAACAACACAGTAGGATACAAAAGTATGACGTGTTAGGTCTCATTTAATTCATCTAGGGACTATATAGTATAGTAAAGGTAAAGGGACCCCTGACATTAGGTCCAGTCGTGACCGACTCTGGGGTTGCGGCTCTCATCTCGCTTTATTGGCCGAGGGAGCCGGCATACAGCTTCCGGGTCATGTGGCCAGCATGACTAAGCCGCCTCTGACGGACCAGAGCAGCGCACGGAAATGCCGTTTACCTTCCCGCCGGAGCGGTACCTATTTATCTACTTGCACTTTGACATGCTTTCAAACTGCTAGGTTGGCAGGAGCAGGGACCGAGCAACAGGAGCTCACCCCGTCACGGGGATTCGAACCGCCGACCTTCTGATCGGCAAGTCTTAGGCTCTGTGGTTTAACCCACAGCACCACCCACGTCCCTATATAGTATAGTATAGTATAGTATAGTATAGTATAGTATAGTATTCCAAATTTACTTCCTTCAGATCTACAAGGCAACAGAAACAAGTCAGGCTCAAATCCCCACTGTGGCTGATCTTGAGCTAACTACTTACAGGTTAACCTACTTCACAGGGTTGATAAAATAAGATATCAGCCTGGGATTGCAGGGGGAAAGTCTGGATATAACTGTGATAATTTCTTTAACATGATTAGGTCCCCAAGTCAGGGCTTCTCAAACTTCCTCTTTAGCAGGGCCCACCTAAGGGCTGAAAATTGCTGAGGCCCACTACTCACAATACAGGGGCAGAGCCAGCCACAAAATGATGGCAGATTGATGCAGAGTTTGGCAGAATCAGCTGGCAAGCAGGGCTATCTAACCCTTCCTTGGAAATTGCTTCTCTTGTTCAGTCCCTTTTGCCTTGTTTCTGTATTTTCTCAACTTTCCCTCACACACTGCTGACTACCCTGTTCATTTCTTCCCTTTCACCCACTCCAAATTAGCATGCTGTAGGCTCATTGTCTGACTCCTATACCTATGTGTGCCTATGAAATGGACATCCAGAGATCCTGCTGGTCCAACCAAAAGGCTACAGCACACCTAGATGAACATAGGCTATGGCAACTGAGGCCTACAGCTTGGGGGCGGGGGAAGCACCCACTTTGTAAATCAGATGTAACCTATGATTAGTCAAGCGGCATGGTATTACCCTATTTTGAAACACTTTATGCCGGAAAACGTGTAGCGTTTTGTGTACCTTTGGTGTTCACTAGTTGAAACCACTGAAACATGTTTAAGCATGACAACTAATACCCAGTTTGTTTATAATGTACAAGAGTCAACAGTGGTTTGGGTGTGCTCTGAACAATCAAAATCAGTTCAAACAGATATTCCACTTCAAAAAGGATAAAATATTTAAAACATATTGTGGATGTATTTATACTACTGGCTTTTATTGTTTAATTCCTCGACTCCTATGTTTATTTTGTTAAATCCTATTATCTGTGGTTAAGTCTTACACTGTTCCTTTGACTACGGCACACAAAATACAAGGACAAACACATAGCGATGACTTGCTTGTAAGAGAAAAAGTCACTCAAGATCAGTCACCACTAAGAGGCTCATATCTAACACTACCTCAAGCAGTTTCTCAAACCTTAGGGTTTATAGCTAAACATGTGTTGTCCTTTTGTAAATGAGCCCTTTGAAAATGAAACATTGGAGGGTGCTCACCAAAATTTAATCTATCCCACATTAGGCATTAGTTGAAAGGTCATCAGTTGTTTTCTCTGATTAATTCAGAAACGGAAAAGTCACTGCTTTTTTTTGAGGCCACTATCTGTTTTGATGGAAAGCAGAAAATTCAGCTGTGCCATTTTTTTTCTTTTAAAAGTGTTTATTTGCATGTAACTCATACTCAGTAAGAATTTAGTAAGTCCCAGTCTGCCACTGAAAAGCTCAGCTGCTTTGATTTAAAACGCTGTTCTTCGTGCTCAGCTGAAGCTCTCTTTTTCTTCTTCTGTAATTCTTCACTCTTCCCTATTAGTACAGGTAAATTTAACATTTCTGCTCTTGGCCTGTAGAACTGCAGGTTCTCAGAAGGCTCTAATTCAAGAGGTTCTTCTGTCCTGGCTCTTTTTCCATCTGCAAGACAAATTTTGTGAAGTAACTTCACATAATTTTGAATATAGCTTAATTTTGCACTGTTCAGTTTGGGTCAGTTGCACTAACAGAAGAGTTAACCTAGAGGCAGTTTCCAAATACAGTCGTACCTTGGAAGTCGAACGGAATCCGTTCTGGAAGTCCATTCGACTTCCAAAACATTCAGAAACCAAAGCGCTACTTCCAAAAATAGTTTGTAAACTGGAACAGTCCCTTCTGGGTTTGCAGCTTTCAGGAGCCAAAATGTTTGAGAACTAAGCTGTTCGAAAAACAAGGTATGACTGTAGTCAAAATATTTTAAGGGTTCAAAGCTTCTCAAGAATTGCTATTGTGACCTCTCCTATCATTTTAAAATAGAACATAAATGTGGTGTTGGTGGAGGTTACCTGCAGCTTCTATGCAAAAGAACACATTTGCAGAAGCAATGTTACACGGAATTCTGAATGTAGCTGCATGTTACTAGCATGACAAAATCTAGGCCTTTATACTTAAATGATCTAGTATTACATGTTACAAATTGAATGATATTTCCAGCTGTCTTTTTAATTCTCTCCTAACCTATTTCTAATTAATTGCTAAGGTCTAAGCGCTTTGCTCTGACCACAGAGAAGCATAGCGATAATGCTACTTTCTTTGTCTGCAGCTATAAGCGCCTACGGTCAAAGAAACAAGCCACTGCTCATGTTTCAAAACTAGCTTGCCTCTTCAGTTCTTGGAGCTACTATGAGGGGTGACTCTGTGGAAAGCTCCACTGGCATTCGCTGTTTTCCAGCGGTGCTTCAATCATCTTTAGCTCAGTTTACAAAAATGCACTCTAGCTCTAATCCCAAGTTTAGAAATTTGTATCTTCATGCAAGTTGCTTACAGAAAAGCTGAGCTGCAGTTCGAGATTTCAGGCTTTCTTGTGGTTTAATTGCTTCTTGCACTGCATGCTCCCATTGCAAGATGGTCTGAGAAAAGTAGAATTGCAAAAAAGTTTCAGTAGGCAGCACACTTATTCAAAGCTAATAGGTCACCACTATAACTTGACATTCAGTGTGAATATGAGTTTACAGTTTTTCAAGTGTTGTTTGTTAATGCATGGCAGTTCCCCTGTGATTCAACAGTATTCATCCCAGTGCTGAGTGATATACAGTTGACTGAGCCATATGGAGTTTGCATAACAACTCACACAGTCTTAAAAGGAAAACTAGATTTCTGTTAAAAAGCGTATACAAGCCATAATCTACTAATGGAGTATTAATGAGAGGAAGGCAGATAGGGAGATAGAGAGGTAATTCTCTAGGTTCTGAGTCATTTAGAAAATCCCCCCTTTTTACCACACAGGAAAATCACTTTTTACCACATAGGAAGATGCTTGCTAAATGAAGTCAAGAAATAGTTCAAGAAGGTACATTAAGACTTACCTGCTCTGCCCATCCCTCTGTTTTGCAGCTATTATGATCAAATGCTTTCAAGGGCACCTCTGAATGAGCGAGACCTATTTGTGTCTGGATCCAGCAAACAACAGCATTTGTGTCCTAGGTAAAAAGAAAAACCAAAACAAATCCCCTTAAAGAAATAATTGTCAACCAAAGTCTGACTTTATAGAAAGACAAAATTTTGACTTTTCTTTGAAACCGCGGTAAATATAACATGAGTTGCATTTCATTTCTGTGCTAAAAATGCTCCAGATATTCAGCAGAGCAGAAAAATATGTTCACCTTGAGGCAAGTTCCAGAAAGATCCAAACAGTTCAGCTTTTTGAAAGGAAGCAGATACCTGAGTCCCAAACGGGTGATTCCTGGATTACCTATATAAAATCAAGAATATTGTATTAAATCTAAAATTAAGCTAAATTACAAAATAGTTTCAAGTTGCACGTAAATGATAAAGCGGATTAAGCAAAAGGACTGTTTGTAGTATAGATACGGCCCAGTAATTCAGAATAAATCTGCATATACTTTACATGAGTAGGGGTGGTAAAAAGTTAACTGGGTTTTTTCTGGTAAACACAGCTCTACCTTAATATCTAGATATGGTTTGTTAGTTCCCAGGGACTGGAAGAAAATAAAAAAATACATAAATGCCTACAATATAAAATAGGTACTAATGGTTAAGTCAATATGGAAAGTCAATGTTAATGATATCCAATACCTTAGTTTGTAATACAGGCAGCAATCATTTCGCATTGGGGTTCCTTTCCGGGTTCCCATGAGCATCGGCGGAGCGCATATAAACTTGCCCCTTTCCACCCTGCCCCCATTCTGCCTTCTTTCAGGTCCATAAGGACCCACACATCGGTGGTCACACGTCAATTGGATGTGCCTAAAATGGTCAGCACCTGTAATAGGGTTCTGCACACTTGGATGAAAACCAAGTTCTGATAGTATATAGTAACTTTGCACCCGAAACTCTCCCAAACCACAGACTCATTGTGTCTAAAGTCTTGGCAAAAAAGACGACTGTCATCTTTCTGGTGTCAAGTGAAAATGGTTTTATGCCCCCAAGCCTTTGGTGGCAAATGGTGGTGATCCTGTATGAAGGGAGTGGTTATTTTGTGCTGTTCTAATTACATTTTCTTTGAATGAACACTCAGTGTTTTATGTTTTGTATTGTTTTGTTGAATTTATGCATTTTGCACTCTGTTATTCTAAATTACTTTGGGCCTCCTTTTGATGTGCAAAGCAATCTATGCAAACTAACCCTTCCACAGCCATATACAGCTCAGCCTTTCTAAGCTCTACTTGACAGAGCCTCGCATGCAATCACTACCTTTGTTTCAATTGGTTTATCAAAGAAGTAGCTCAAAGCTATATCCAGTCAAGGGCTGGGTTCTGGTAGCTGACATGGAACTATATCAGATATTTGCTATGATGTAAATCTAGGATTAGCCCATACAATAGCTACTAAAATGTATGGTTTCCATATTAAACTGTGCAGCAGAAAATTGGCTATTTCTGTTGCAGAATACACAGCACATTTTGACCATCTCTTGTGTAAACTGGACAGCAGCCGGTTTTAATCAACAATATTGAACAGCAGCTATTCTGGTTTCTATCTCTCTTGTAATGGGTACTCAATAGTGATTAATTTTTATTTATTAAATTCTTCTGATACTGGCAAGGATGAATGCTGGATTACAATGCATATACCCTGTTTCCAACCTGAAGCTATACTTACAAGACAAATCCAATACTGAGAGATTTTCAAGGCCCCTTTTCATCACTCGGACAGGCGCTGTCATTTTGCGAAGACCAGCATCTGACAAGCAGTTATCTTTCAGGAAAAGCCGAGTTAAACTAAGGTAAATGTAAAAGCTACAATTACACATTTATTTATTTATTTAATAAAATTTACATACTGTTTTATTTTCTTTCTTTAAAAAAACCAAAAACCCTCAGAAGCTCTTGGTAAGTAGACGGGAGTTTTGCAAAGCCAAATGGAAAGTTCTAAAACTAAGCCAGCTGTGAGATATACAATTAGTAAAATTTGCTGAGTTTCAGACTTTCTGCATTTAAGACTGATTTATATTGCCACAGTTCTTTCAACAACAAACCAAATGTTCACTTCCTCTGCAGCAAACTGGTACCTAGATAGTGTCCTGTTGGTGATATGGTCCAGCAGCTCATGCTCATCTCCAAGTTTACAGAAGGACAAATCCAAGCATGTCAGATCCCGGAAAGATTTAATTTCTTCAAGTTTTTCAGAAATAACTAGGTAACTGTAAAAGAGCAAACACAACTGTAAGATTCTGCACCCTTGTCCAGTTTCTTTCATTCCCATAGATTTATTTTTTTTTATTTTTTTATAAGATATTTATTAAGATTTTCAATGTTTTACCAAACACACAAAGATAAACAAAAAAAAAAAACAAAAAAAAAACCATAGTAAAAATATTTAAAAACAATTCTTTCCTTCCATTACTTGACCTTCATTTGCTTATTTCCAGGACCTCCTCACACCTTCCTTTTTTGTATTCCAGTTCAATTATTTTGTTCAGCAAATCCCTCCCCTCTTTTAGTATCCTAATCATCAATCATAAAAATGTTGTAATTTTAGATTTTTACATATTACATAATAAACCCTTTTTTCATCTTCCCTTGTAACCTTTCAGCTAAAGACCACTTAGTTTCTATCCAACATCATTCTAACATTCATTAATTTTACAATATTTCTGTAAATAATCTTTAAACTTTTTCCAATCTTCCTCCATCAACTCTTCTCCCTGGTCTCGGATTCTGCCAGTCATTTCCGCCAGTTCCATATAGTCCATCACCTTCATCTGTCATTCTTCCAAGGTGGGTAGATCTTGTGTCTTCCAATACTTTGCAATAAGAATTCTTGCTGCTGTTGTGGCATACATAAAGTTCTGTCCCTCTTTGGGACAGGACAGAGGGACATTCCCATAGATTTAGCACCACCAACCAACTCTGTCAATGGGGGAAACGCCTATGAGATTAGTTTAGTCCAGTTGAGATATATATGTATTTTACAAAGCAACCAAGAATCTCCTCAATGCCCTGATCCAATATTCTGTTTCTGATTATGCTCTATTCTACAGTAAACCTGGAGTGAGGAACCTTTATCAGCACCAACAGATACAATTCCTCATGGGCAGCCTCCTAAGAATGGGTGGGCCAGAGGGAAAACTGGGCAGAGCCCCCAGTATGGATTTTGCCTTTGTACCAGTAGGCTAGTTTCTACACATGCTCACACATCCCTTTCTATCCCCCATCCAAGCAAGCAAGAAATATCATCAGAGTTCAGAGACACATTCTACTCAAGCAAAAAATATCTGAGGGGAGTGCAAAGCAGAACTGGTGAGGGAGGTGATCTGGGGAGAGGCCAGACAGGAAGAGTGCATTAGGCCCCCAAGCCTAAGGTTCCCGGTCCCAGTGCTAAATAATCAGCTATGAGAAAGCCCGATACGAGAAACAATAACAGTCCTAGTAAGCCATATATATAACAGAAACTTGTAAAAGAGCATCTGTTCTAGGAAAAATATATTTGGTGCAGATAAGACTATGAAGAAGAAGCCAGTATTCATTCCTAGATTTGCTGTGAAGAGTACAAAGAACCACACTGAGCCTAAATTTAGTTGTTTGGAAGCAATGTTCAAGAAAGCTTATTTTCAACTAATTGCACTTAGGAAAGATAAAAGGATTTACATTTAAAGGCCAATACCGAATCTTATTTGTAAGGTGTAAAGCAATGCTATTGCTCCATTACTCCACACAGAAATAAGTAAAGCTGCCAAAACAATAAAAAAGATAAATTAAAGTTTTTAGTTGGATGCCTTTCCAACCTAAGTAAAGTGGTTTATGTTCCAAATTCAAATACTATGAAGCACTAGGAACAGCCAGAACAGGCCACACAACAGTATTCTACCTTATTCACTTTGTATCCTTTTAATTTAGCTCTAGGCAGTGTGATTTGCTACTTTATTGAGGACTCCTTTAATGGGGGTGCAGGTGTGCTACTAAGAACAAGTTATGCATGCTTACCCATTTTTCAAGCATAGAGTCTGAAGCACTAAACTTCCATAAGCATCAATAAATTTTTGCAAAGCACAGAGTCCTGTTCTTGGTTCTGTAAATTTCTGTCTAGCATCTGCTGCATAGAAAAGCTTTTCGGCTATCTGTTCTGGAAAGTCAACCAGTGAATCAACATGGTGAATGTTGTCAGCAATGTAACTCAGAACTAGGCTGAAGAGAGATTTGGCAGAATAGCGAAGATTTCCCTTCTTTGTGTAAGTGAAGATGAAGTGATCTGTCCTTCCATTGTCATTTTCCCTATTCACATAGAGCTCAACAGAAAATCCTTTGGAAAAGAGTCTTGAAGGCCTTGGCTTTGGATCACTGTTGTTTACTCCTCCTGATGCTTGATTTGCCTTATATAGCTGTCCATTTTCCCGAACGTAGACAGATCCTCTATCTGGAAAGTTTTCCGCATAGAGATAGCATGACATTCCTCTTTGAAGTTTCTGAGAGAGGAAACAAACACGGTAAAGCATAAAACAAAACAAAAAGGGATTTAGTCTGGGAAATGTCTACATGTGTGATTTCTACAGTGTCACAAATGTGCTAGAGTTTACACTTTTAAAAACAAAACAAACAAGCAAACAAAAAACAAGTTCTCAATGGCCGATATGGATAGGCAAAGCGGATACAGTACTTGAGACAAAATTCCCTTCCTTTGGAAAAAAATATACAGTATATAGGAAGAGATGAAAAGGCCGTTGATTCAAAGTGGCCAGGCATTCTTTCCTAACTCTTTGGTTGCGCAGAATTTTGAGTTGAATCCTCCGAAATAGAGACAGGATTATATCTATGACTGAGCAGAGAATGAAATCAACCACCACCCCTAGCCTCTAAAGGCTAAAATCCAACAAATCTTGAGCTTGAGGGAGTCACACCCACGATCACTAACAGGATCTCTACTACCCACATTATGCACTAAGAATGCCTTCCAAACATTCTGGATAATGTATTTTTATCCTACCATCCCCATCAAAGGAGCCAAGGCCACAAACGGCAAAGTAACAAAACAGCACAAGTAAAAACAAAATCAAAACATTAAAAAACTAACAACACACCCACCCACACGCCGTACTGTGTGTGTGCAAGGGAGATGCAATATTTTTATATATTCTTCTAAGTTAAAAAGCTCCCTGCACTTCAGTTAACTGGGGAGAGGGCGCTAAATCCTTTCTCCCAGTTCTATTAAACGCGACGAGTTTTTGTTTGGGACGCGGGGGAGGGGGCCATTCAAATACGTGATACCGGAGACTTCCCCGCCTCGTCCTGCACGTCTGAATGCAGATTGCCCACAACTCCACTCCGCAAACTCGTGCTGCATAACGCGCAGACCGTTTCGCGACCATAGACATAATAAAGACAAACTACCGAGGTGTGTGTGTGGGGGGGGAAATCTGCGCCACTGGAGCCTCGGTCCTCCAGGCTAGCGGGCAATATGCACCTTGGGAGCCTCGAGGGCTTTCGGCAAGGAGGCAACACCTGCGCGGCTTCCCCTGAATGCAGGCGCAGAGCCCGAAGCAGTCTCGGAAGCAACGCGCCCGAAGACCACAAATATAGGAAGGAAGACGAGAGTCACATCCTCTCATTTGCTGCGTGATTTTGGGTCTCGTCTCCTATTATTTTGTATGGTCGGGCTGCAATCCTACCTTACTTGGCAGCAGACATATGCATAGGATTGCAGAGTTAGAGAGGTAAAAAGCTCGGTGCTATTGCACGAAAGCTGCACGAGGGGAGGCTTTAGAAAGGGCTGGCGAATTTAACTTGAGCTGGTTTGGCTGCATACTCAAGTCAGTTCAGGTTTGTGACTGCGACGTGTGCGTGTGATATGCCGCTGTCAGCCCTACGTCTGCAAGTTGCAATACAGGGATAATGGTAGGATTCAGACGACACGAGTCCCTCTTAACAGCGCAATCTTCTTATGTATGCACGATTTAGAAGTAAAGCCTCGATGAACTCAGCGGGACTTAACTGCAGCAATGGACGTACCCAGGATTTGCTCTCAGCAGGTAAGGGTGCCTAGGAGTGCAGCCTTCGCTGAAATCAGTGGGGCTTCAGTTAGTCGCCGCGGCTAAATTTAGACCCTGATTTCAACGCAAGGATGGCTGCAATCCTAAACCAACTTAATTGGGGAGCAAGGCCCATTGGATTCCCTAGGACTTACTGCTGCATAGGCACCATTAAGACTGCGTTGTTCGTCTGGATCCAAACCAACAACTTCGAGCTGTTGTCTGCATTTGTAGCATACAATTTTCAGATGCCTCTCTGGGGGGGTGGTCGCATTTTCCACGAGAGCTGTCCCCCGAGTCAGAGAAAACACGTGCTCCACCATTATTTGCCTATATACCTTTTGAGGGGCCCGGGGGCTCGTTGCAGCAGCTGCTGCCGCCGCCGTTTCGGCCTCCTAGGTAGGGATTTCTCCGTTATTTCCTAGGATCACTCATCCATTTTGCCCCGGAGACGAGAGAAAACATGGCGCCAAAAGCAACCAGGAAGCAGCAGAGGTAGAAATGGCTGGTCACGCCTCTTCCTGGGTTTTCCCTTCGAGTCGGGATGGGCTGCTAGGCAACCGGGCAACGTTTCTCCGTAGATGCAAGAGGCCTTTTAGGAAGCGACTCTTCCCGAGGGTGGAGAAAACATGAAATTCACGGACTACTGCCTTAGCTCCGAAGGAACCGATGTGATTCAAGCAACATCAAGTGATGAAAAATACCCGCCAGAAAATATCACGGATGGGTAAGATCTTGATCCTGATGAAGTAGCAGGCTCTTTCCTTGTAGCGCCTGAATATTGCTATTATATATCATGAGCTTTCGTGGACTAAAGTTCACTTTTTGGTATATATATAAAAAGGTTTACTTTCAGGTTTTATGAATGGTTTTTTACATCCTCAACTCGCATAATTATTTCCTTTGGGTTGGAAGTAAAACCCATCCATTTGGTTTCCGAAATGCTTTTAAATATGAACTTGAGCGTCATGGAAGAATATAGTATTTGTAGCCAGTGGTTTTTTTCCTTAAAAAAATGTTTAGGGGTACTCTCATTTTCCTACTCATATTGAAATACTGCCCCTCAATGAGACCAAACTTAGATTCACAAAATGTTTAGGGGTATGCGTACCCCTGTGGTTCCCCCCCCTGGAAAAAAAGCACTCTTTGTAGCATTTGTGTCACACATTCAAATAACCTAAGGCACAGTATAGTTGTAATAGGCTGCCATACTGTAGAATATAGGCTGAAGGAATTGTTCATGGATTTTTCACTTGTAAGAAAATATCAGCCCTTAGCTGGGGGTGAGAGACTAGGTTATTTGAAGGTTGGATTTTTTTGTTTAATTTATTAACGGGTAAATCTAAATTATTTTTCTACTGTGATGAATTTGAACTCTAAGGTTTAATGAAGATAAGGTCAGAAGTGTACCTTTTGAAAAGCCATGTGTCTACTCAATAGTAAGCCCGATTGGGTACAATGAATGTTATTTCAATGGCAGATATATTTAGCTTGTCATTATGACATATAAAAACATTTCATATTAAGTTGTACCTTGTCTCAAAAAGTGTAACATATCTATAATCCTGTTCTGGTACCATGTAAAATATAATATGATTCCCCCCCTCTATCATTTAAGGTCCTTGATATCGCTGTTTAGGGACCTTCCATAGAATATCATGGAAGAATTCCAAATATATGGTGAAAACAGTAATACAGTTAATGCTAACGTTTACTATGTTAAAATGCAACATTGGTATTGGAATGTTGGATGTCTTTATTATTGTAAATTGAATAAAATTTCTCTGTTACAGATATATCTACAATATATTTCTAACATTTTGCATTCATACAGGTTATTTCACTCTCTCTTAACAGAAAATCTGAAACCTTTTGGACAACAACTGGGATGTTTCCACAGGAATTTATTATTTGTTTTCATAAATGTGTAACCATTAGCAAACTCACAATCCAGTGTTATTGTGGTAAGTTGATGTTATACAGCTAGGTTTTCATTTCTGAATTAGCATCTTTTCCTGCAAAAATATGTGTTATTTTTGCTTTAGGGCACAATCCAAGCCCTCTCTCCTGCTGGTGGGCTTTTGTGTAGCAGTGGATCTGTATTCCGGCTTCTTGTGGCCATTGCGGATGGTGGGGAGAGGCAGATGATCAGGCCCAAATTGGACTAGATCACTGTGCCAGCTCCAGGTCCCAGTGCTGTTGCATGACATCAATGATTCTGGCTTGGTATCCATAAGATTTATGGCTGATTTAGCCCTGCCCCAGCCCACCATTTGAAGGCCCTTTTTCAGTGCCTTCCAGAGGTTACTGCCAGAAGGCAGCTCTCCACCTGTCCACCCATTTTTGGGGGGTGTGGGGAGTGGGAAATTGGTTCTCACAGCAGCCCTATCCACCTGCACATTTGGCAACTAGCAGGGGCCCGCACAACTAGCAAAGCTGAGGAACACTGATCAGTGAGGTTTTGTGTAGGGTTCTGCGCTTCTGGTTCTATATAGGTTAGAGCAGCTGTGTAGAAAACTGTGTGAATGTGGGTGCTAGTTTGTGTATGAAAGTACAATGGATAAAGTACAACCACTTGTGGGGTTTTTTCACATGCAGAGGGGATTCAACTGATCACAAGGTTATAGATACATCCCAAATGCAACTCAGCCTAGATTTTCTGTGTCTTTTAACAGTTCTATATCTGATACTATCTGTGAATTGTCATAATTAATGAAATCTTAGGCATGATTGAACATTAATATTGTAATGTAAAGGCTAAGTACTACTTTGTTGATGAATTTTGTGTGAAACTAGGCAGCCTTAACCAAGAATTTCTTTTCTTAACACTGTCCTTAGTGCAGACATTACGGATTGAAAAAAGTGTGTCTAAAGATCCAGTTGATTTTGAAGAATGCATTGAAAAAGGTAATTCTTTACTTGATGTAACAGTTCTAATTAGGTGGATGATTGCAATTTGATGTACAAATCAGTTAAGGCTGCAATCCTATATCTCTTATTAGAAGGAAGTCCTATTGAACGCATTTGGAATAAGTTTGCATATACGAAGCAGGACTAGGATCAAAGCACACTTCTGTGATATCTAAGGAACCAATGGCTGGTTCTCCACAACTTCCAGATGCTGACTTGTTGCTGTTGCCTGCTTATAATTTGTTTTGTGCCATTCATTGAACAATTTAGTGCGTTTTATATTACCCCATCTTATAGGGTTGTTGGTTGCTATGATTATTCAGATATTGTATATGAAGTGCTTGGAGCACTTAGCAAAAGTGATCTATAAATATCTGTTACTATTTGGAACCCAGGTGGTAATTTCTTACCTTCCATGACAATATTTTTCTGGGAAGCTATTAAATGTTTCCTTTGTCTATGTCTGCAATTGGTCTAAGAGTATTTTTAAAAAATAATATAGCAGTGAAAATATAGTACATTTTGAAGGGTCTTTGATAACCTTGGGTAGATTATTATGGGAGAAGTTGCTAATTTAAACTATTTTAAAGTGGATTACATTGTGGCCCTAATGAAGCTTGGGACATACCATCTACGGAGTGTGTTAACTTTATTGGAGTTAATTTAGATCTTTACTAGGATTATGAGTTTTTGCGCTCCAGTGAATTTTCAGATCCAGAATCTAAACATCATGTTACATATTAAGGTGCTGCTTGTTTGTTTTATGTTCAGAGTTGCAACATAAAGAAGGAGAACTTCAAACAGAAGAATTTTCGGTAAGTATATGCCATCTAGCATTAATGCAGTGTATGCAAAGAGTGCATAATGAATTTGTGGGGAAATCTTGAGTTAGCAAGGTAATGTAGACGTTAGTAGGAGCTTGATAAAATCTGAAGCAATGTTTTCATGTTCCTACTATTATATATATATCTATGCCTATGTTACATTTAACTGCTAAAACATAGAGGCCTTTGACAGTTCCATATCTGAACCAAAGTACTTTATACTTTTGAGTGATGACAGTTACCATTAGGGATTATGAACACTGACTGGTTTATGTATTTTTGCACATTTGCAGTGCAATCCTAAGCATGTTTGCCAAGAAGTAAGTCCCATTAAGCTCAATGGAGCTTACACATCAGTAAATGTATTTAGGATTGCACCCCCTGTAATGTGCAGGATTGTCAATATTCATCATTTTTTACATTAACTGTATTATATGTGTATATGTATGAAAAGGAATAGTCATAATTATATCTATAGCTATATCTTAACACTAAATGTGTAGTAATTTCTCATGATACAACTTCTATCATCATAGTTTGCTAAATTCCCAAGCCTCTTAAATATTAAGCAAAAAGCAGCAATATAGAGGAACGCTGATTCAGATCAAATTTTAAAAAATCAATTTGAAATTTACTTAGTAGCCTGATCTTGACCATACCTGTCATCAGCTCACTCCTGTAACCTGATTGTAATTTGGGGAGTTTTATACTACGTCTTTAGTATAGCAAGATTTAGATTCGGATTCTTTCTAGCATACAATGGTTTATTTTTCAATTAACTAAGTATTCCCATGCTGAGTATCAAACAACTACAGAATACATTTCATCTAAAACTAAGCGATTTCAAGTCATATTGATTTCAGTTTTTGTAAATTAAAAAAGCTCTTAAATCTCTCACATTGAAATTATTGCCATTGAAAAATGCTTCACTTGCACTGAATTGTGCCCATAGTTCTATAACTATTGATGTTGTTATTCTTATTCTTATTTCTTTTTGGCAGTTTCCTGAGATCCAAGCGACGTACTTGCGATTCATTATTTTGTCTGGCTTTGATGCTTTTGTGTCAGTTCATAGGGTGATAGCAGAAGGAATAACACAAGATAGTGAAAACCAAACTTAATGTGCTGCAATCACAACTGTATAAATATTGTACTGATATTTGTATTATAGATTATGTAATCCAAGCATTAAAGTATGTTTTCTAAACTGTGTCTTTTGTATATCTTTGTCACAGACTTTGTTGTTGTTGGTAAATTCTGTTAAACTATGTAGTAAACATGATACCTCTATTCCACTAGAACTCACCACTTCCTTCATCTAGGTTTATAAATGGAGAGTTCCTATTCACTCATGTCATGACCCCATTTGAGGGACATTCCTGACAACCTCTATTAATCTGAGACTATTTGAAATATTCCCTGCATTTTGGCCACTTCAGTGCTGGAGTGTTAGCCACTGTTATGCACCAAGAGGTCCTCTGACACAAATAAATTTTACAGTATTGTCAGAGCATTCAAAGTGGAGTGAACCACTTGTGTAAAAATGGTTAGTTATCTGTTTCAGAGGTATCCCTGACAGTTTTGATAACCCCTTTTATGAGTATGTGAAGTTCAAGCTTCTTGAAAGAAAGATCAAATCAACATCAGAGCACACCATGCAAAACCCTGGCCAATGCACTTACATCCAGTGGATCCCAGTCAAGATTCGATTTTGCTCAGGATAGCAACCCAGGGAGACAGGGAGTAAATTACAAACACCCAAGAAAAACCACAAACTGCTGAATGTAACTGAAGCTAATTACTTGGTTTATTGATATATAAACAATAATAGAGATGAACAATTGGAGATGATGTGAAATAGAATTATAAATGATACAGAATGCATATAGAAAATAGAATATATAGTAATGAATACAAAATACGATTAAATATTTAGCCATTGGATATGATTTGCATATTGATTAACAAATGTCATGCACTGACAAAGCAGTCAATCCAAGTGAATAACATAACAGCTATCTCTCTCCAATCGATCTGTTGTAAATAATTCTACGTTCCTAGCATATTAGAGCAATGAAATTCATAGTTCCCAAGCATACAGCAATAGACCAGATCCTGTGGATCAGATTGTGAAGTAAGGTGGAAAGCAGCAGGAAAGGATAAAACCATAAACTCTGCAACCTTCCTCTCCCCAAATAAAAGATGTAGAAGAACTGAGCATGCCTTTTATATCAATCAGTAAAGGGACTATGGGGCTGGATCTTTCCATTAATTTATTTTTCTTTCAGTTTTACCGTTTGTATGGACAGACTCCCATAAACATGGACTATGTATTACCATAATCCATATGGGAGAAGGAAGAAAGATGAACAAACGGGACCCTGTTGTACAAGTGGTTCTTCATGAACGGAGCTTTGACACACTACCAGCATCAGTTTGCCAATACATTAGGCTCTCATTTTGTTTAGGTGATGTGGTTGCTTTTCTGCCACTCTGCAAAATGCCAAGTCACTGGACGCCTTGACTGAAAACAGCAAAAATGTGCACTCAGATTCAAGCAGCTTTCACAGGAAAGAGCCAGACATGGTACAATGTCCATTTTACTCCATCATGGCTGTTCTACTGTATGCACAGAACATATCGTCATGGTTGGGTGTAGGCCAAGCAAGACCCAGATAAGCGATATTTAGGATCAAAAGGACCATATGACTAGTCTCAGATACACAAAGGGCCTCTGAGCTTGCAGTTTCTCAAAGAGTAGCTTTTCACATCACATGCCATACTGCTTTTGAAACTGGGAAGAATTTCAAGTGTATTTCGGTAAATATGGCAAGGATGGAGAACCTGTGGCCCTCAACATATTGTTGGAGTCCAGGTCATATCAGGCTAAGGCAGCATGTTCAACCAAGCATGCTATATGGCATGGGGTTCCCAGTTTGCTTTTTTAAGCCAAATGTAAAATAATCTCAACAGGTACATTTGTATACTTGGGAACGCTTATAATATCTTAAGAAGACAGATTCATAGGTAGTGTTAACAACAACAAATAAAGGTAAAGGGACCCCTGACCATTAGGTCCAGTCGTGACCAACTCTGGGATTGTGATGCTCATCTCGCTTTATTGGCCGAGGGAGCCGGCGTACAGCTTCTGGGTCATGTGGCCAGCATGATTAAGCTGCTTCTGGCGAACCAGAGCAGCGCACGGAAACGCCATTTACCTTCCCGCCGGAGCGGTACCTATTTATCTACTTGCACTTTGACGTGCTTTCGAACTGCTAGGTTGGCAGGAGCTGGGACTGAACAACGGGCGCTCACCCCGTCGCGGGGATTCGAACCGCCGACCTTTTGATCAGCAAGTCCTAGGCTCTGTGGTTTAACCCACAGCGCCAACACCAACAACAAATAGTGTGCTATAATTGCACACTAGCAACTAACTAGTACACCAACATTGCTAGCTGGACAGATCCACCTAAAATTACAGTATTCCTTCCAAGGCATTTGTTCTAGCAATGGTCTGAGTTGGATGAATATTCAGGAATCTTCTGGCATCAAAATCTCTCCTGCATATTATCTATCCAATACAGCCTTAGAAAACAAAGAGCTTAAAGCGATCAGTTATGGAATAAGCCTCCGTCTTTCACCAATGCAACCACCACCATCCAGCATTCTGTAGTTGGTGTTTCTCCTTTGCTCCTTTTGACAACCACAATATCAAACGATGACACTTAAAAACAGCAAGCCTGTAAAGATGGTATGAGACAGTTTGATCATAATAATTTAGTATATTGTTTCTGTTAATATTTTTTTTTGTAAATCAGGTCACAGCCCCTTGTTTTAAGCTATGACCATCATAAACAAATATTAATAGAAACAAGACTAACAAACCATTACAATATCTCAGAAATTTTCTATAACCTCCTCGAATAAACAAACGTTAGACATGCTACCCATACCACTGCTCTGTTTTGACTGAGAAAGATAATCTGATCTCCTGAAGAAATAGTCCATTCTAGCAGAGGAAGCAGCTGCAAGTGCAGCTGCACAATCCAAAAACCTCCTTTCATCTTAGCTGTTTCCAGCTGAATAGCTAATGTTTGGGAGAGACCCGCAGGCCAAGGATCCCCCACCCCTGGCATACAGGCTGTTTAATGTGGCAATTCCTTCATTTGGAGCCACCTGCCATGCACTGCACCACAACAGTTTTTTGTTTTGTTATGTAGTGTTGTCAGGGATGGGAGATCATTGGAAGTGTCCGGTGAGCCACTTCACATTAATTGCTTGTTCCATGGAGCCATCTTTATACAGCTGTTTCTCAAATTACTATGGGACTGCTGTTTTCATATGTTACTTAGGCCACAATGATTGATATTTGCAACACTTGCAGGCTGCACTTCAGTTATTTAGATGCTTAATTTAGTGTGTGTATTTGCGCTCCTTATATTGAAGACTAATGATTGCTTTCTAACAGTCTGCCAGTTTTCCTCGTTCCTACTAAATTGGATTTTTTCCTTTGTATATATTCTAAATCTCTTCTAAATGAATATGAATACCTTTAAAAATTGGTTGTATCCATGTGGACATTTGTGGAGAAGATAACACACAAACCATGAGTTTCCCAAGGTGCAGAAGATCTATACCTTTTTTTTTATACAGTTTGGTGGGACTTTATTTCATACTTGTCTGACTCTGTTGTGTTGAACTTTCTGTCTCCCTCGTGTCAAGAAATTTTGCTATCTTAAGACCACCACTCATCAGATGCAAGGATTTATGTTGATGGAGTATGATGGCTCTGCTTTTCATGTTTATTCTTTATATTATCATTTCTCAATAAATCTATAAAATAAAGTAAGAATTGGTTGTATCCAAAGAAGTTTTCCTGTTAGCACAAAGACTTGCATGCACACTAGAACTTCCTCTCCCAACATCCTCTCCCTCCAATCTGATCCAGAGGGCAGAGCAACCCCCTCAAAATATTATCGGGTAGAAAAGGGAGGGGAAGTTCTATTGGGCAGGCAGAAGTCCATGCACTAGTGGGATGACTTCATGGGTTGTATGTAGCCTTTAATCAACAGACTATGACGTTACTGTATTGTTCACATATGAGATTGTTATTAGGCCTGTTTTATAGTTCTAAAGCAGTTTTTCCAAGACTTCACGTACTTCTTCTGGGTGATAATTCCAGGGTCCCACTCCACCCTGTAAAAGAAATACCATTATGAGCAATTTCTAGGGAGGAGGATGCAGGTTGTACAAAAGTGATGCAATTAATTACAGATATTCCTCATCTTCATGAAAAGTATTTAGTGAGACAATATTTGGCACCAGCTAATTATTTAACAATTAGATGTCAAAAATAGAATTCAAAATGGTTTGCAATTATACAAATACTGTATCTCCCAACTAAGTTATTGTTTTCCATCTCATGTGAGATGAGAGGCAAAATTACACAAGTGATTACACTGGGAGAAAGGGTGAGAAATAAATTCAAGGAACTAAATAAATGCATGCTGTGTTTTTTTGTTAAAAAAAGCAGATTTGGACGGCTGTTGTTCTGAACAGATAAACAAACACATCGCGCTCCTGCAGCATTTCCTTCAGGTTCAAGTCACTCCCAAACTGCTTTTTCTCCCACAAGGTCCCAGGTGCTTGTTCGACAAGTACATGGAATCCCACAGGGCAAGGGGGAAAGGAACTAGGTTTGGAAACCTTAAGATGGAAGAGGGTTAAACACCTCTTTATCTCTAGTCTGCTCAGCTCAGAATGGCAACCCTCCAAACCTGATTTCCTTCACACATTTCCTTGCACATATTTATATGTAATGCATATTTTGCAACTATACAAGCACGAGAGAGAAACACAATGTAGTTGCCAGCGTATCTGGGTGCCCTCCAGATTTTGTTGGACTAAAACTGCTGGAGTAAAACTTCTGGAGTCTTTTCTTGAAGGCACTACGCAGGTTACCCCTGCAGTAGACTACTGTATCTCTTTCTCTTTAAGGAGATTCAAGTTGCAGTTCTCATAGGATCGAATCTTGGTAAAGTTAATGACATTTAGAAACAGGTAGGTAAATTCAGGAGGCCTGCTAAGTCAAGGCGGATTCCAAGTTAACTCTAAAAGAAGACAATGAAATGGATGTAGTCTCCACTTTCATGAGAAGGTTCTTGGTTGACTCACACCAGGGTAGGAATTATTCCGTACCTTTTCTTAATAATATGATCTAAGGCACTCAGGCTACGCAGACCAACTATCATGTTGTGACACATGCTGTGCTGAACGCAAGGGTCCTACCAAACTAATAACATTTTTATTACCTTGTAGATAATATTTCCTTTTTGAAGGACATAAAGCCTTTCTGGTAGAGCTGCATACTTGGAACTGCTTAGGTTCTCCATTGTGTCTACAACCACTGGACATGAGGGATTCTCTTTCAGTAGGACCTGTGCAGCCTGGATACGATCTTGGAGGGTTTGATGACTTTTAATGGCAATATTGTTCTTAAAAGCCCATCCATCTAAAGCAAACAGCATGATTAGGCTAATCATATAGCATCTAGTCATAGCAACATTTATTAATAACCTTCAGAATTGTAGAATTGTATGTCGGAGTATTAAGTTGGATAATAAAATTTATATTTTAATCCAGTTTTTACTGATTTATAAATGAGGCAAACTTGGCAAAAGGTGGTATTCAACTTAAGTTTTATTCAGAGTAGATCTATTAAAATTATTGAACCTAACTTTGCCATGTTTATTAACTTCAGTGGGTGCATTCTCAGTGAAACTTAGTTGAATACCACCCAAAGTATTTAAGTCCTCATTTTTAAAATTGATGTGGCTAACCAAGCACCCTAGTTTTGAAGCATTTGTTTTGATTTTCAATACTGAGACCAAAAGGTTAACATATTTAGAGGCATACAAGCACTTTCTTGCATCTTCTAATCCCTTTTAAGAAATTAACAATTAAAACACATACAGGAAATCTGTGACCTTCCAAATATTGTTGGACTACAGCTCCCATCATCCCTGACCATTGTCCATGGCTGGCTATGGCTGATGGGAGTAGGAATCCAACAACATCTGGAGGATCACTTGTTCCCTGTTCCTGAATTTAAAATATGCTATAGTAGTTTAGTTACTGTCTATATGCTATGACAGTAATGGGGCACCTGAGGCCCAGGGGTGAGGGCAAATGTGGCCTTGCAGGCCTCTCTATCTTACCCTTAAAACTATCCCCAAGTGATATGCCCTCCTCAGCCATGCTCCTCAACAGCCCTGATTTGTACCCTCCTTGAGTGTTTTTGCTTGACTGGATAGAGGATAGAGAGGGATGTGTGAATGTGTGTAGAAATTACCCATAGTAATCTTACTTTACCTGAGGCATGAGCTTCTTCAATGTAGATTATAAGGAAATCTGCTGCAAATCTGAAGTCTTCAACGAGCTTCTTGAATTTGCCAAATTTGAACATAAATGAAGGTCAGGTACAGCTTCCAAATGCCAAGACCAAAGGCCTCGTTCCTGCAACAGACATAAGCAGTCTTCAAAGTGTAATGAAACTAGAATTATAGTGTTTTCCTTAAAAAGTACCAGTCAATAATTCTTCCACATTCCTTGTATGCAGGACATCTAACATTTGATCCTATGGGAACTCAAACCTTGGGAGACAAGCAGGATGGCATTCTACTAATGTATCCCATTACAGCAAGGATTTCTGCTTGCACAATGGGACTTCCTCTGCTCCTCTGTGCACACCCTGCAGCCTCCTCAAATCTGTTCCATTGGGTTAGGGAAACTCATAGAATGCATTTAATGGGGGAAGGGGACGAGAAGGAGATGGAACAATTGCCTTAGCTCTATGCCGGATTCCACACATACATTTTCCAGTATGCTAAGGGTGCTTCCATTTATCCTGCATCTCAAATGGGCCACCTACAACCTCATAGAATCATATAACTGAAGAGTTGGAAAGGACCACAAGGGTCATCTAGTCCAGCCCCAGAAATGCAGGAATCTTTTCACCAATGTGAGGCTTGAACCCATGACCCTGAGATTAAGTGTTTCATGCTCTGCTGACTTAGCTAGCCATTATGATCTTCATGGTATCTGTTAAGTTGTGGGTGAACATATCAGACGACACAGTGATTCTTCAAACAGCTCTTGTTTATTCACAGCCCAGAACAGAACTGAACTGAAGGGTTCAGCCAGCCTGCTTATGTAGAGCTCCACTACAACGCAACAGTAACAACTTTCTGTAACTATCCAATCACTGACCGTCACTTTCAATTCCTTATTTGCATATATGGACCTGAGTGAAAACTATCTATAGTATCCCCCTGCTGGCCCAGGGTGAGAACTTCAGTACAGTGGTACCTCGGGTTACATATGCTTCAGGTTACATACGCTTCAGGTTACAGACTCTGCTAACCCAGAAATAGTACCTCGGGTTAAGAACTTTGCTTCAGGATGAGAACAGAAATCATGCTCCGGAGGCGCGGTGGCAGCGGGAGGCCCCATAGGCTAAAGTGGTGCTTCAGGTTAAGAAAAGTTTCAGGTTAAGAACGGACCTCCGGAATGAATTAAATACTTAACCCGAGGTACCACTGTACATAACAGTATCACCCTTTCATGACAGTCTATGAAATATCTTTCTTTGGTTCTTATTCCAAAACACATTTTGCCTCAGTCATACTCAACAACCAAGAACGCACAGACCATACAGTGTAAGTTTTGAGAATGCGCATATGCATGCTTTGACTTTTCTGTGCATTTTAAAGACTTTGCAGTTACTTATAAAGTGCAGCTTAATGATTGAAGAGTATGTTGTAAGAGAGAGCAAAGTGTGTTTTGTGTTTGTTCTTTGTCCTGACAGTACATTTGGGCAACCTGGAGCTTTAGTAATCACTGTCTCTTTTCTAGACCCACATCATGTACTTAAAAGAAATTCAATGCATTTTCAAAGCACATGGATACCGGAAACTGTCATTTTCTCTTCTCCCTCTTGCCAGAACTACAATTCCTTACACCCTTACCAGTCCCCATAATTCTTTGAGGGAAGTTATGTGCTTTGAATGTATGGTCTGGATCTGACCAGGGAGAAGAGAGTCTGAGATCTGCTGCTTACTTACTGAAGTTCTTCTCAAGTCATTAATATGCACATGACCTTGCCATTTCACCACCCAATTTGTTCACAGTTAATTCCAGATAGTTATATCTGGCCTGAGTTGTTTTGTGCCTTTTGTAACCTTCCCCAATTTTCTAAATATGTTCTGGTTCAATTCAGGCTGCACACCCACCCACTTAATTATTGTTTAATGTGGTGTCTAAATTGTCAAACCATGGTTCACGATAAGCTAACAGTACAGAATCAGAAACCATGTTTTGAAATGAGTTGCCAAACGGCAGTTTGTGTTCATAAATACCAGGAGACCTTTAAAAATATTCAACTTACCATGCATGAAGTCCAGTATGTGACGTATTTCCCCTCTAAAATCTACTAGAGGGGTGTTGGGAGCAGGACAGCCTTGAGACACTTCGTCTTCTAGCCTTTGCCATCTGACTTTCAAGACGAAGAGTAAGTACTGGAAACTGAAGAAAGTTGGACCCCAGTTTTCATAGTCGAAATTGGGGTTTCTTGCCATGCTGCTCTTTCCCCCTTGTTTCAAAATATATCTCTTCGCGGTAGCTGGGAATAAGATCAAGCAGATTTTACCAACAGCCGTAAAGAAGCACACTTCAAAGAGAATCCAGAACTTTTGCACCAATGTCCTGATTTTGAACATCTTGCCAGAATGAGAGACTGCTGTGTTGTGCAAAGTAGAGAAAGGGGGAAAGAGGGGGAAAGTAGATGAAGTAGCTTAGCTTTTGAACATGCATATGCAAGACTTCTGCTATTGGCTCACCAACTGCCAACTGCCATTCTAAAGGTTACGGTAACTGAAATGTTAATCAGAATAAATAATTTGCAGTTTCCAGGAATCAAGGGTGTATCCCTTCTCCTGTGCTGTAGGGTTTGTACTTGTTCCAATAGTATTTCGGTGCACCAATTATTACTGCTGGAGGATTCAGAACCAGGATCACTTTTTAGAATGATCTAATTTGTTTGAACTGAGGAATATGAACAGGAATTAAATTTTTTGTTTGTTTTTAAATCAGAATTCCTGACCTCCCCACCACCACTTGACATCTTTTAAAAAGTAAGTGTGGCCTTTGTGCATATCAGCTGTATGGATAATTCCCATCTCCCTTTAATGTCCTGTTGCTATTTGTATTGTGCATGTACGCTGCTGCACTTGCTCTCACAACAGCCACTGCTCCCAGTGGCGTAGCGTGGGTTGTCAGCACCCGGGGCAAGGCAAGTAATTTGTGCCCCCTAACCCGGGGCAAGGCAAGTAATTTGCGCCCCCTAACCCCTAACCTGCCGCCGCTGCCAGCTTCTTCTTGCTGCTGCCTGGTCTGGTCTGGTGTGGTTCTCTCCCGCGCTCAGCGCTGCGCTGGGCGGCCGCTGCACTGTCCCTCCCCCAGATAGTCCCTCGCTCTCTCTCTGCACCGCACGCCTGGCACCCACCCCCTCCACAGTGGGCGGCGACCCAGCGGCTCGGATCGGATTCGCACAGCCAGCACTGCAGTGAGAGAGTGAGCCAGGTAGGGGCAGAGAGCTGCGAGTGCGAGCGCGCCCCCCCCCCAGATGTTGCACCCGGTGCGGCCGGGCCCCCCCTGCACCCCCCACGCTACGCCACTGACTGCTCCTATTTCACATATGAAAGCAGAATGCTTGAGGCTGTGTGGCAGCGGAGGACTTCTGTTTACTTTTAACAGCTGGGCAATCCAACAAGCATAAAGATTAAGCAACAGGTAGAGTTTGGTCTATTGCGTCTCTGAACAACAGAGAAAGACGAAAGGAGCTGCCGGGAAGAAAACAAACCTGTTTGTGAAAGACGAAGGAGCTGCCGGGAAGAAAACAAACCTGTTTATCGGCGTCGCCCTGCTCAGTTCCCACACATCTCTTTTGGAGGGAGTGTTTCTTCTTCACTTTAAGGGAAGATGTAACAGTTTGTTCCGCCTTCAGGGGCTGAAATCTTCCTAGCGAGATCATTAAGGAGGGTCGTGTGAAGGCGGTGCTGCGCTGCCCATCGGAGCAGAGAACGGGGTTCTTGAAATCATGGTGCGAGAAGGAGGGAAAGAGGCTGTTTGAATGAGTAACCAGTTCAAGAACCTGCAGGCAGGCAGCCCTTGGAGCTTACTCCCAAGGGAGCATGCATAGGATTGCAGCTTGTCCTTTACAAGCAGCTCTGCAAAAGGCAGAGCTGCAGCTTGGAAGGTTAACGGTTACATTTATTGCGGCACAAGCTTCCGCACCCCTAATCTCACCTGCCGCTACAAATCTGCTGGCCTTTATAAGGCGCCCGGTGCCAACTGGAGGCGCTGCTCGCTTTCTCTTTAAAGGGAGGGGACAGGAGAGCGACAGAGAGACGCGCCGGTCGGCTCGGGCCTCTTAAAGGGCGCCCTGTCTCTTTAAGGAGGAGAGAAGTTAAAGCAGCCGCCGAGCCCTTGCCGTTTCCGGCAACACAGGCCCTCGGTACGTAGCGTCCCTTTTTTGGCACCGGGAGGTAGTGGCTGAGGCGCCGCCTCGTGGAGTGGGTGGGTGGGAGGGAGGGAGAGGGTCCATCCTGCGGCCTGGCCCAAAGGGAGGCTTCACACGTTAGGGGGAAAGGAAAGAGAAAGACCCGTGTCTGCGCGGGTGGAACACCACCCCCTTGCCGGCTCCCTGGTGCGCAGACCCCACGTTCGAATGATGCAGCCGGGGGCTTATTCATTGCGCCCAAATAGGACCGCAGGGAAGGGAAGCGATGGCTGCTGCCCCTCTCTTCCCGCCATAAGAACCATCTCCTAATACAGATGGGTCCCTCCTTCGTGTCCTTTAACCGCCTTAGCAGTGCCAAGGGTGGGTTTTCTCCCTCGCAGCCACCTTTATGGCATTAAATATGGAAGCGGCGGTGATTTGCATGGAACCGGGAAGTGATTTTGGGCTGACACATAGATAGGTAACGAGCGCAAGGCTCCTGGTTACATCAAGGCTTGTCTCTTGCTACGTCTTCAGTCTCCATGTAATAAAAGCGTATTTGCTTGGAAGTTAGCTTCATGGGTTCCCCAAAAGCACTTCAGGGTTGGGTATTTTTGGGGGGGGGGGCTGTTAGGCACTGGGTAGTTTTTTCTTTCCCTGCTGGAAGACTGCAGTCGCCAGAATACCTGCCTGCCTGCTTTCCCATACCTTGACCACTACAGATTTCCAGTAGGATATTCCGTCAGCAACCTTAGGACTTGAAAGATAAAGCAGCACGAAACTGCTTCTGAGGAAGTGCCCCTAGATTTTGTGTACGTGGTGTAAGAAGCAGCAAGAGCACCAGGAAAGATACTGGGGGGCTAATGCTACTGTAACGGTACCTCTCGGGCTGTGACCACATAGTAAGACAGCCATCCAGGGCAACCGCCGCTGTATGGATCTGGCAACTTTTCACCATACCACAGTAAATCACTGAAGAGAATCATTGGCAGTGGTGCAGATTTGTAGGGCGTTTGACATGCGTACAGATACAGTGCAGCCTTCATCCTGTGTGTTTGTGACTTTTTGTTGCCTTGCACAAGGCAAAGATGACTAATATATTATTAAAAAAGAACATTAGGAATCACATTTGAATTTCTAGCAGACATCAGGTTGCTTTTTTGTTTGTGTGATTCAGGCCCTAGACTTTTGAGTTTGCTTTTTGTAATTTAGTTTATTATATTAATTGCCAGAAAGGTATTTGCACCCAGGTTAGTTGGCTTGTATGTTTCTGTTTAAAAAGCTGTAGTAAGGAGGGATTGCTTTCCTTTTCCCCTGTTCTAGTCTGCCTGAGCCATTTATTTGCGATCCTCGGATGAAGGGCGGTATAGAAATTTAGTAAATAATAATAATTCTGCCCGTTATATCCGTATTTATATCATTCTCCTTATTGCTTGTAGTAATCTGGATGAAGTGGACTAATCTTGTTGGGAGTCTATCTGAAGGTTTCTTCAGATTCCCAGGATGTTTCATAGATTCCAGAGCTCTGTGATTCAGTTTTGTCAATATGTGAATAATAGAGTTCCATTTTTAATCTGAAATTGTATTTAACCTGCTTCATGTTTTCAAGCTATTTTTCACTTCTGAGCACTTCGTTGGGACATTGGTGCATGAATGGCAACTGTGGATGACCTAAAGTTTCATGGTAACTTATAAAATTACACTTAAAATCTCTGAATTATTCTGCAGTATGTGCATGGGGCCATTGCATTAATACCACATATAATTAATCCATGTTTCATAATGCACAGTTTTGTGAGCTCAACATTACTGCTGATAGTTTTAAAAGCAACGTTTATCAGTTATGGAACTGAGCTCAGTTGTCTCTACATAATGGGAATATTATGGGGAAGGTGATAGAGCGTTTTGCGCATGAAGAGTGCATTAAGTAATAGCTTAAAGTTCTGCCAGTTTGCTAGGTGCTTATTCTAATTAGGACTGAAAGCCCAGTTACAGTTCCTACAGTTAGGTAGTATGCCACTGGTTCAAATGTATAGAAAGCCGACAGTTACAGCAGACAAGTAGGAGGAGTGACTCTTTTTGGAGCTTGCCATTGTGAAAATTGCAGTAGATGTGAACTGTTTCTGTTCTGGCAGTCTACTGCAGTTCTAATTACTTAAAATGTGTGTGGGTTTATACCATTAGTATTAATTTGTCTCCTGCACCTATTGATTTATGTTTCTGTGCTGCTCCCCTTTCAATATGCACTAGTTCAAATAGCCTTTCTGTCTAGTGAACTCAACCCTAGGGTATAGATTCAGGTCTGCCATCAGCTAGTGTGCAGGAGGTAGACCAGTAGCACATCTTACTCGGAAAAAACAAAATCTTTTTAACTGAGCGCCAACACAAGCTTTGCAACATAATGATGGGAGAGCCCTACTAATTTCATACAGTTGCATGCCCTGACAGTTAGCAATGTGAAAATCTAAACTTCATTGGAATGACTTGTCTTTCAGAATTTGATGATGCAGCCAATTTGTTGGCAGCAAATCCGGATGCTGTCACAATAAGCATTGATGAACCAGCTGAGAAACCAAAAACAAAGCATGGACATCTGCAAGATTCTGGGAGAGAGGAGGATGATGAGCTATTGGGGACAGATGATTCTGATAAGACTGAGGTTAGAGGACAATGTAAAGATGTTTTCTGACAAACTGATTTTCCTCCTCAAGCTTTTAATTAGTACAACAGCTATTTTAAATAAATGGAATATGTTGTGTGTAAATAGCAGCAGAAGCCACTCGGGGTAGTCATCTGTGAGAAGGAGAAAACATAGGATAGTCCTTGGCCAGGCTGCTCTGTAGCAAAAAGATTGTATTCCTGAGAAGTTTAATACCCCAGACAGGGTGTTGGATGGGTTCCTAGCCTTCCTAGAGAAGTAGGCACAGTATTGGAAGATATCTCATGGGGTGTAAGTTGGAATGGGGATAGGAGAGCTTTTTTGTTATCATTATTCACTTGCTGTTTTTTCTGTTAGCCCTGAGCTGGTTTGTGAAAGTGCTCTCGTACCTGTTACAATCTCAGGTGGTAAGCACTACATTAATGGTTTGGGGCACTTGTATATGTAAGCAGATATTGAAGAAAAATAATTGACTTCAGAATATTCCCTGTGAAAACTGTTCTACATGGCTTGTTGGTGCCCTTTTACTGAATTGCTTTCTATTGAATTTCTTTCTTTCTAGCCACTGGAAGATTTGTTCAGTGGCAATACTTTCCCCGCTTTGACCAGAGGTGTGTGAATCCTCTGTAGTGCTGTGTGTGGCTTTCCCACAGGACTGCAAATTGGAAGATATTATATACAGCACATATAACAGGCAGTGATGAAATAGATACTTCCTGAGTGGAGTGGCTAGAGTTGACTGAAGGACACAGGGTTGGTACCAGGTTGTCTGAACTTGTGGCCAGTGGCCTGACAATACCACACACACTGTTTCAGAAAGATGGGCTTGAAGAATTAGCAGGGTGGTAACAATAATATATTTGACATACATTTTGCTGAAAATTCTTCTTCCAAGTTGAAATGTCTTTTCCCACTTTGCTCAAATATATTTGCAATTCCTATGAGTTAAAAAGACCTGCCTGTTAAAATGACCCGCTAATACTGAATTAGCAATCTTTTTCTCTTCTTCTAAAATTTCAGTTGCTTGCCGGACAGAAGAAAAGTGCCCCATTTTGGACATTTGAGTATTACCAAACATTTTTTGATGTCGATACATACCAGGTTTGTAATTTGCAGTAATGTCTCTATTAAGGCACCATGCGCAAGTGATCTTCAGCTTGCTTTTTTGTGCATAGAGCTGGTAGCGGATACTATCTGCAACTGTTCAGAGTTCATGTTTCCATATTCATAGGTCTCCAAACAAAAAAAGTACAAATGATTCATTCTTTTTGAAAATGTATCTGGCCTCTTGCCGCTCCCTGCCACTTGAAATTGCCAATACCAATCAATGCATGCGTGATTACTACTTTGGTAGCACTATTATAATAATTATCAGCAGAGTTTGCTGTGCACTTCAGTCTCTGGAGTTCTGTCCACAAATGCAACCTGTTATTCAAAGTGCCGCATGCTTGCACCCTTTACTACTGTGTGCTGAGTCATCAAATTTCAATGGCAGCTTAACTGTGGATGTTAACTATGGAAATAATAGGACAAGTGTTATGCATCAATATAGCAATATAAGAAGTAGGTGGGGCGGAGGGATAGGCAAACCATTCTTACAACTGAAGCAAGAAGAAAATACAGAGGGGATATCCAGACAACTGTGCCATTTCAAACACTCAAAGCAATTATCTAGTTCAGATGTCACAATAATTTAATTAAATAATTTAATAAAAATCATTTATCTTCAGTCAAATGTTTTGTATTACTTTTATTAGGTCCTTGACAGAATCAAAGGTTCTGTTTTTCCAGTACCAGGGAAAAACTTTGTAAGGCTGTATATTCGAAGTAATCCAGATCTTTATGGTACGTGCAAATGCTAAAATTGTCATGAAAGAACTTCAATTTTTTCCAACACTGGGTCAGTCAGTCAGAATAAATGATCTTTTGCTTTTGTTTCCATTAAGGTCCCTTTTGGATATGTGCCACGTTAGTCTTTGCCATTGCTATCAGTGGCAACCTTTCAAAATTTTTCATCCATCTGGGCAAACCTGATTTCCATTATGTGCCTGAATTCCGAAAAGGTTTGTGTTAAAAGCTGTATTCCAAATACATTTGAATTCCTGGTGGTTCACTGTTCTAGCTAAGATAACAGAAGGAGAAATTTAAGATAGTTAGCCACCATATAAAAGGTTTTGTTCCGAAGTACATGGCAGTTCAAGATACTAAGTTCCTCACCAATCTAGAAGCAAGGAAGAGGCTGTAGATATGGTGTGTATAATATTGCCTGACCTAGACTGAGAGCTTAGGCAAGTGAAGACAGGAATGGCTTAGGGAGCAGCCAGGCAGATCTGGGTGACCATAAGAGAATGCATGTATCAGGTAATTGTTCTTAGTTATGTATGGGTGTTGAGTTATAGAGGCTCTGTAACTTTGGCAGCCTAATTCAGTGTTCCATTTCTCTTACTGAGTGACAGAGATAACAGAGGCATATTTTAAGGTGTGTCAATATGCAGCCCAGGGCAGCCCGTGAGACCTGATTTCAAAAGGCTAACTGCTGCTAGATGATTATCAATCAAACACAGAGTAATGCAGCCAACTGTTATGTAGTTTTAATTTACATCCTTTGAGTTCAGTATTTCTATGATGTGATAGCTTTGATTATTTTGCTGTGATTTTGAATGCTGAAATAAATCTCTTTACAGTGTCCATAGCTGCTACAGCCATCTATGCATATGCTTGGCTAGTTCCTCTAGCTCTCTGGGGATTTCTTATGTGGAGAAACAGTAAAGTTGTGAACATTGTATCCTACTCATTTCTTGAGATTGTGTGCGTTTATGGCTATTCACTTTTCATTTATATTCCAACAGCGGTAAGTTGAATATAAAGAATTCCTGAGTATATGAAGAGTCTTGAGGAAGTGCTGAATAAATTGTTTTGATTTTTTTATAATATAAACAGATCAATACAGATTGTTGACATTTTATATGGGAAGTTTAGATGAGAAATCCATGCATGGCCTGCTTAATTCACCTTGGAAATACTGGACAAAATTCACTGAGATTTGCCCTAAGTTGCAGAAATGTGCATTCATAATTTAATCTGAACTAAGGAAGGGATGCTTCTTGCTGTTCCCTCCAGCTGTTATGCACATGGATTCCATGCACTATGCTGTTTCAAGTGGCCACACTGAGGAATGCTTTTCTGTAGGGCTGCTGCTTGAACATGGGTGCCATCTGAGATGCTGTTGAAATCTTTTGACAGATCCTTTTTTTTGAGACCCCCTTAGTTGACTAATGAAACAAAAAAAATGTGTATCGAGTATCATCAGTATCTTAACTTGTTGAAGGAAGGGAGGGATTGATGGTGGACTTTGGATAGTAGCAATGCAGAGTATTTTCCTGGAAACAGCCATTGCCTACTGTTCACTACAGGGACACGGGTGGCGCTGTGGGTTAAACCACAGAGCCTAGGACTTGCTGATCAGAAGGTCAGTGGTTCGAATCCCCACAACGGGGTGAGCTCCCGTTGCTCAGTCCCTGCTCCTGCCAACCTAGCAGTTTGAAAGCACGTCAAAGTGCAAGTAGATAAATAGGTACCGCTCCGGCGGGAAGGTAAACGGCGTTTACGTGTGCTGCTCTGGTTCTCCATAAGCGGCTTAGTCATGCTAGCCACATGACCCGGAAGCTGTACGCCGGCTCCCTCGGCCAATAAAGCGAGATGAGCGCCGCAACCCCAGAGACCGTCATGACTGGACCTAATGGTCAGGGGTCCCTTTACCTTTACCTTACTGCTCATTACATATGCATCATTGTGTACTGTATTGTGGGCCACAGTTCTAGATTATGTCTTGAAGAGCAGCCAATTTATAACTTTACTCAGTATTTAGTTCAAGACATTGGTTATATATAGAAACCGTTTGTGGGTGCTCTTACTAATTTTCTCATTAAAATCCAGAAAATTCTGTTTCTGTAAGATTTTATCTGATTCAAATCAGCAAAAACTAGAACTGCATTTCCTTTCTTTTTCTTTACAGATATTGTGGATTATTCCACAGAAAGCTCTCAGATGGGTTTTGGTGGTATTTGCTTTGTGCCTTTCAGGATCTGTCTTAGTGATGACATTTTGGCCTGCTGTTAGAGATGACAACCGAAGGATTGCAGTGGCTACAATTGTGACTGTGGTACTTCTCAATGCCTTGCTTGCTGTTGGTTGCTTGGTATGACAGTTGTTTCCTAACTTTTCAATAGTTTTTTCTTAGGTCAGTTTTCATGAACAGTTAAAAGCTTCACCTATGGAGACCTTTATTCATGGAGAAAATCTGCAATCCTCACAAATAAATGTGTTTGTACTTACTGTAAATAACTCTAGAAATGGGTAGCATTTTAAAAATAGGATTTCTGTACCAAGTCATGTCTACAAATGCCTATCAGTGACTGGCTTAAAAGCTGTTGTAAGTGGCTAAGTGTTCCTATATTGGAGTAGGGTATAAAACCAGTATGTTGAACATGCTTAAATCCCATGCCTTGAGCACTTGCTTGCTTGTGTAAACTTTTTTGGCTTATTTACCCTGGAAATTTTAGTTTTGGTAACTTTCATATAATTAATTGATGCTATAATCTGTTTTTGTTTCATTTGTTCACTAAATCAATATAGTCGGTATTGCAGTCATCTTTTAAAATCCAGTGGTAAAGCTAATGGTTGTATTACATCTTCCCTGCCCACATAAGCAATACAAATGTAAAAAGTACAGTATAAAGGTTAACCTGTGATATTCGTAATATACTACTGTCCCTTCTTCTCACCTTCTCCAATAATGTAGGCATACTTTTTTGATGCCCCTGAACTGGATGTTGTTATGCCAACTACTTCACTTCCACAAAATGTAACAATAAGAGCAATGAAGGCACAGTAACAAAGGTAAGCATTTCAAAAGTTACGCCCTATGTTGGTGGTCTTGCTATAACTCGCTTCAATTTAAGCAGTGATGCTTGTTGGGTCGAATTCTATGTTAAGTGTGCTTGGGTTCTCAGGTGGGTCTTCTAATTACATCCTTGCATGCTGTGCTTGTGCCACAGCAGCTGTGATGACACCCTGCACAAGGCAAGTGTGGCACTGCTGGACAAATTAAGCAGCCTTTTAATTCCCCTCGCCATCATGAATGAATTTCAGCAACTCACCTATGCGGGGAAAACTCAATATATGAGCCTGGAGACACCAGTAGGATAGAGGCAAAATGCCCCTAGTAGCCCTGAACCTTAAAAATCAATTTTGCTCACAACTGCATAGTATCTTGTGATGATTCTTGGTCACAGTGAAATGTGAGAAAATGCTGTAAACCCACTTATCACTCCCCACCCTCCCATTTAGACAAAGTACATCTGACAGTTCTTTACATGATAGCATACAGAGGCAGTCATGTTTAATTAGCTAACAGGCTTGCTTCAGTGCTTATCTGTATCCTTCTGGGTGCATTTCATGGATATGATCATTTTTTGTTACCAGATGAGTATTTCTACAGATTAGAATTAGAACTGGAATACATGAGGGCCCACATCCAAAATCTGAATATGTTCTATTAAAATAAAAATGGACCTTTGCAACGTATCTGTACAATTAAAACACATTAACAAAACTGCAACGAAACTAAGAAGTGCTTCAGAACAAAGACAAATGCAAGTTTACAGGTTTTGCTCTCCTTTCTAAGTTTTTTATTCTGGACAAATTGTGTAGACAGTAGCAAAGATGCTCTAGAACGTGATGCCTTCAGCATTCTGCATTTTAGATTCATAATACTAGCTTGCTTGTCTTTCCCTCCTCAGATATATATTTCTTCATCTGTGGGATATTGCTTTATTGGGGCTTTCCCATATTGAAAAAAAGAAAACCCCAAAGATCTGAAAAGAAGCATCAGCGAAAGCCAAAAGTTCTTAATGACACATCAGCAGAACCATCTAAATTCATAGTACCTCACCCTTGAATGATCAACTAGTAATGGACTTAGCTGAAATTCTGCTCTGTTGAAGCAAAAGATAAAAAAAGGTTTCAGTTCAGTGGAATCAATTTCACCTGGCGATTTGAATCCTAAAAATTTCAGAGGTAGATTTAAACCCTAATAATTTATTATTATTTTTTATCTTCTGTATAATTCTTGTTTTGTCATCAAATAAAATTGACCCAAAATGCCACCATTTCTAAATATTTCTTCCCAAAAGCCTGTATATTTTGCTGTATTTATAATACATCATCAGCATCCACAGGATTTTTGGGGGAGGATGGGAGCATATGCATACAAACATAGTTATAGCTGACCAAGTTTTGCTCAGAAAAGACCAATTTAAATTAGTGGACCCAAGTTAGTCATGTTCATTCATTTCAGAACGTCTACTCTAAGTGGGACTAGCATTGGATACAAACCATAATATTTTTATGAGTTTGTGGATCCCAGCCCTCTATAATCCCTGGACCCAGCAGGTGTTAGATTTAATCAAGGCTTGTGTGTTAAGCTGAGTGCTAGACACTTCTGATTCCAGGATGCAGCAAGTGTCAAAAGCTAATTAAGCCAGGCTAGCATCCTGGGCGATGGGCCATTAAGAGGACCAGGGATCAAAGTGCTTGTTGTGCTAGATTGGCAAAAGGCGGGCCTTCTCTCCTTCAACAGATAAAGCCAGAGTTTAGAGAAGAGGAGTTAGGAAAACTGTAAGCTGGAGAGACAGCGAGGTGGGTGGGAGAGCAATGTTTGATGTCTGTCTGAATCCAAGGCTGTGACTATGAGAGAAGACCCTTTTGGGGGGTCTGCTGTGAGCCCTTCCATCATAGGCTCAGGTTGTATATATGTGTAAATAAACCATATATCATAAAGACATCACAGTCTCTGCTGTGTCTCATTTCCAAAAGTGCATGGAACCCTTGGGATTTTGCACTGCTCAGAGATTGGGGTGGCATGCAACTATATATACCAGGGCCAGCCCACCCATGAGACCAGGTGAAGCAACCACTATTTGTTGACTGCAAGGGTGACAGTCAACCTAGCAGTTCAAAAGCACGTCAAAAGTTCAAGTAGATAAATAGGTACCGCTCTGGCGGGAAGGTAAACGGTGTTTCCGTGCACTGCTCTGGTTCGCCAGAAGCAGCTTAGTCATGCTGGCCACATGACCCGGAAGCTGTATGCCGGTTCCCTCGGCCAATAAAGCGAGATGAGTGCCACAACCCCAGAGTCTGCCACGACTGGACATAATGGTCAAGGGTCCCTTTACCTTTAAGGGTGACAGAACCAGCACATGAAGGTCGCAGACTGGGCTCGTATTAAACAAGAAATTGGACATTCACTGCTAATACTATAGCCTTATCATTGCCATATCAGAACTAGTGGGGAAGTTAAGGGGGGGTTATAGTGAAATAAATCATCATCACCACCACCATCATTTTATTATTTATACTGTGCCCATCTGGCTGGGTTTCCAGTACAAATAAAAACGCCAAACATTAAAAACTTCCTGATACTGGGCTGCTTCAGATGTCTTTGAAATGTTGTGTAGCGTCATTTGCTCTGCCTCCATCCATCCCCCTCCCCCCGAATTTAATGGGTTGACTCCATGAGCCAAATGCGTTAAATTTCTGCAATAGGATTTTCAGGCTAGTCCATGACATCTCCATACTTGTTCCTTTTTGCACCGGCTTCTGTCTCCTTCTGGGGGTCCAAATGGGGCACTTTCTCTTTGGCTACATCTGGGACACTGGGTTGTTTGCTCTCCAGAAAGATCCATAAGTCAGAACACCTCTGTGTCTCCCATCGAGTCACTGTATAGCTTGCAACTGAACCTGCAACAAAGGAGAGCAGGATGTTCCACTGGAGTGGGTAGTGAAGCTTCCGGATGAATTTTTGAAGACCAAAAGCCATCCCGGAGACTGCAATAAATGTCCCCATGCCCTTCATGAATGCATAAGACTGGCAGGCAGTATATTCTTGTAGCCCCGGGTGCTTGGCTGCCACCGCTTCGTCCACACGAGACAACCCCACGTTCACCATCTCTACTGCAGACTCCAAGCTGCACACTCCCTCCTCCACCTGTGCCTTGGGCCCCTGAGATCCTCTGAGGTGCTAAAATGAGAAATAAGAGTTCAGAGAGAAGACCATTAGCAATCACATATTTTTCAAAAGCTTATTTTTCATCTGCATGGTTCACTCAAAGATTTATTGCTAATCAGTAGAGACATGGGAAACTAAGAAGTTCCAATAAACCTTAATTGTTTTTCCATCCATCTGGTAGTAGACTTGCTCTACTATCATATTCTGTGTGCTGAAACCAAACTGCATTCCTCCTGCTGGGAGTAAACCTTGAGGAATAATCTCTGTCCGCTCCCTTGCGGGACAAATCAGGAGCGGAGTTCCTAAGATGGTTGGACGGTGCCTTGTAGACCTCCTTCCGTCAACTCCTGCAGCCACCCTGGTGTCAAATGTACTGTTTTGCTTTCCTTTGGACCACATCAGCGAGGCCCGAGAGGGTAGTTGTGTTTTCTGAGCAGCCCAGGACCTCCATAAACGCTCCTCAGACTTGTGCCCTGGGAAGGTCACTTTGGTGCTGCTATTGTCTTCACCACCGGAGGAGCACGCCATTGTCTCTCGAGACGAAGGAAAGCGAGGCCGAGAGGGGGGGTCTTGTCATCTAAGCAGCCCAGCACCTCCATGCACACTGCCCAGGCTTGCGCTCTTCTATTGTCTCTCGAGAGGGACGGATGCCAACAACATTATATACTGGATATTTTAAAATACTATATTGTATATATTAAATATTTAATGATTATTTTTTTAAAAAAACACAAAATACATTTTAAAATATATCGGAAATCTGCACAAAGAAAACACAGGCACACCTCACTTACTTCCTCCCCCTTTTCTGCCGGGACTCCGTAAGAAAGTAAACTTCCGCTTAGAGAATGGTTGACTGAAGCGCCACACCGACGACGGACGCGCTAAATTAACGTCACTGAAGCTATTCCCTGCTCTTGGCAACGGGAGCAGGGCTCCCTGGGATAGCATCCGGGAACTGAAGCAGTTCCTATCCGCTCGCGGCATGGGAGGGCGAGGGATGATGTTCCATTCAACGCGGGAACAGCTAAATGTATGTATGAATGCGCGCGCATTAAGCACATGTGCACGAACACCCGAATAGAGCTAATGCGTGTTTGCGCAACGTCATTTCATGCTTCAGAGGTATCAACAGATTCCTAATTCCTCCCTTTGGAAAGTGGGCGGGGGACCCTCGCTGTGGATTGGCTCCAATAAACCCATAGTTTTTAAGCACAGGCTTGTAAAACTGCCAAAATTCAGTTTTTGGGGAGAACTGAAGAGGACGGCAGGCAAGTTAAACTGGAGTAGGGTGTTTTTTTTTATGAGAACATAGTCCAGTAGAATTGCCATTACTTTCTAGTACTGTATCGGGTTGCTAGTTCTGCCTAAGGTTCCTGCCTTAGACTGAAGCAGAAGTTGCTGCCTAAGAAGTCGGTCGGCCCTTTCCATCCTGGGAAAGGCTGTCTTCGTTGAAACTGCATGCACCAACCTTTTCTAGGTGGGAGTGGAGCAGGGGTTGTTGCTCATATTTATAATGGTATAAAACAACAACCAGCTGTTAAGATGCCTCAGATGTCCACAGAGGACAGCTGGCTTAAGAAAGTGCTACCCGTTGCTATCCTTGAAAAATTGGCCCACCACTGGAAAGTATTCAGCAGTAACACCAAACATGGGGATTTGCAGCTGTTTGTTGGACTTTCATGACGTATATGCGCAATTGTTCCAATTTCAAAATTGTACCAGCCAAATATGACTTTATGTAGAGCTATTCATGACATCTATATGTGTCTTTACATATAAATAGCCCGTAAAATTCATTGTGTCTTCGCGTCTTCAGTCAGATTGCATGATGACCTCTTGCCCATGCCTATATGTTCATCCTTCACCCCCTTTCTCCAGTGGCCAAGGAAGAGCTGGTAGTTTGCTTTCTTACACTGTGTCATTGCAGGTTTCATGCCTCAGTCAATAGTTGTTTGTTTGTTTTGATTAATAAAATTTATTTTTTTAGAAAATCAGTTGTTCCTGAGAGGGACAAGGTGCAGCCCCATCTACCCAGCTGGTTTCCTTCCTTCAGAAAGATAGCATGAGATCCATAAGACAATAACAAACAAAATCTTTAAAATTCACACAGACATGCACACAAGGAAAAATATACAGGGAAGGAGGAGGAAAACATGGAAACGTAGGCACCAGTCCTTACATATACTTAAAATGAACATAATCCCGCTGTCCCTCTTATTCCTCTGGTGCAGCCAGATTTACCGTATTTTTTGCTCTATAAGACTCACTTTTTCCCTCCTAAAAAGTAAGGGGAAATGTGTGTGCGTCTTATGGAGCGAATGCAGGATGCGTAGCTATCCCAGAAGCCAGAACAGCAAGAGTGATTGCTGCTTTCACTGCGCAGTGATCCCTCTTGCTGTTCTGACTTCTGAGATTCAGAATATTTTTTTTCTTGTTTTCCTCCTCCGAAAACTCCCATTCCCTCACCTCTTCAATTCTAATGGAAACGCTTATTTTCCTCTGAAAATTGTTCATTTAAAACTGCATATGATTTGAAAGTGATCAAACTCTTGCATCAAATTAAAAGAATAAATAAATCATTTTGACTTAAAGTTTTTCCAAAAGTACTATTTCTCTTTCCCCCACCTCTCTCCACCAGTCCTGAGAGAGGTTCATCTTGAGTAACTGTTTAAATGGGCAATTTGTCTACATCTACATCTACATCCTGGTTTATGGAGTCTGTGTTTGGATACGTTTTTGTTTCCTTTCCAGATCTTGGGATGGAGAGCAGCTGCAAGCCTTGCTTGGTCGGTGCTGCTGCTTCCTCTGTGTATTGCAGCCTTCATCAGCATCAGCAGCATTGACTTCTTCCACCCGGTACAATGGATCACAAGTATGTCAGTGCCCTGCCTGAGACAAATGTTACAGAGCAGTATTTATGCAGTTTTTTAATTCAACATTATTTGGGCATATTATCAAAGCAATCCTTACAACAGCCTTAACATTTAGGCCAGTGTTCTCGTATTACATGTAGAGCAAGGATGGGGAACATTTTTTTCAGCCTGAGGGCCCCATGCCAATGGTGGGGGGGGGGGCAGAGGCAAAAATGGGTAGAGCAACAAATGTAAATGGTGCCTTTGTACAGTAGGCTGGTTGCTACACACACTCGCACACCCCTCTGTATCCTCCATCCAGACATGCCAGAGGTATTATCAGAGTTACCTCTGGACCTCTGGCATTACAATTTCTGGACTGGGAGGAAGGCAGGGTAATAACAGTAACAACAGCAACAACAATGGTTTAGTGTGATGTGTGAATGTGATCACTGAGTTTATGGCTGAGGTGAGAGATATACCAAATGCCCCCTAGGTCTCAGCCCAGCCTTGTAGGCACTAAGATCTAGTAGTAGAGCTGTTGTATAGTACTTCTGATTCATATTTTCCCCCCTGTCTTAGGTTCATTCAATGACCTGTATACCTCCTACGTTATTTTCTGCATACTGCTAATGTCTGTGGTCATACTGGTAATAAGCATCTTCAACGTTGAGTTTCATGCAGGTTGGTGTTGAAAACTGCATCAACTTAAAAAGTGCCGTTTGATTTGCTGATTTGTGCTTAACGTTAGGCTTTGTTTTAAACTTTGGAATCTGTTTCTTTGTGTGTCAGTAGAAACTTAGTTTCCAACCTTTGCTCTTAAAACTCTCCATTAATAAATGTGGAATAACTCTAAATGCTGTGCTAAATCCTTAAAGACCATTCTCCACTCCTGAAAGTCTGATTTGGCTTTTTTAAAGAACTCAGTATCCTACACTGAACTCATGAGTGCTTAAATGTGGAGTAGTGATTGCCTGAATGTGGTGTCTTGAAATGTGACACAAAGTATGTACGTAATGTGATACTCTTTAAGTCAGGAGGTGGTTAAATGTTCTTATTTGCCTTCTTACTTTGCAGTTGTGCCTTCTATTCCTTGCTCCCGGTTAGCTCTGATAAGCAAGATTATCCACCCGCAGCAAGTGATCCATTCCGTTGCTCATGCTGTAATGGGAATGCTGGTAGCTTGGTGTGCAGCAGTTATGACGAAGGGGAAGTTTCTCTTTTTATCTGTATCCTGCACAGCTACAGAAAGGTAACCCTGGGGGTGGTTCAAGAGCTGTTTATTAAAATGTAACTTCTTGTGAATGCTAATAACGAAATGCTGCCAGATAGTTCACATTAGGTGATTCTCATTTTGCTGCAAGTGTAGAAAGCTGGTAGGAAGATGTGTGCAAGCAAATGTTTCCTGAGAAATAAATTGCTGTGTACTTGTGACCCTTTGGGTGCAGAAGATAAAAGTAGCCTTGTAGCCACAGGTGAGGCAAGGAGAGACTTGGTGGAGGAAGGAACATTTGTGCCATCTCTCCTCTTCTAAGCTCCTCAGTATAAGGGTTTTTGTTGACAAGGCTAGAAGCTTGCATTTCCATGAAGGCCATAGAGGACAGGGCTTCCCCTATACTGTAGCTTGTATAGGAAGTTAGTAACATTTTTGCTAACTTTTGAATTATTTACAAACCTGGATTAAAATACTCCAAAGAGGCTGCACCTTTTTCTGTAGCCTTTTCCCTATTTTTAGGACGCAAGTCAAGGTTGCTGAGAAAATGCAATTCTCATACCAGCTAACTCCAGCCAGTGATCCAGTAAGGATTATAGTCAGTTGCAGTTATCTGTTGGATAGTGCTCAGGATGCTGCCACTGCCCCCCAATATTTGTGCAATTTTATCCCTTTTTTTAAAGTCAGTAGTTAAAAATGAGCACCTCCTTGCAGTACCATATGTATATCTAGAAGGTGAACTGAATATAAAGTTGGGGAATGTGTGTTTCAGTCTGTTTATTATGTAATAGATAAACGAGAGTAAAACTTTTTTTCATAGTTGCTGGACAGTGTTTTGGAATGAGTCCTCCACCACCTTAATTTTGCAAAATTGGATAACATTTCCTTAAAAGTAGAATTGAGTATAGAGTTATTATCTTCCTGTGCAACTAAAGGCTAAAATTACTGCTTTGCTTCAGTGTAGCTGATGCTGATCTGCACATGTGCCTGAATGAATACCACCTCTTCCTCTTGCTTCTTGGAGCCTTTATGGGTTACAGCTATAGCCTTCGGTATCTTGTTAACAATTTGAACTACCTTCCATTTCCAGTTATACAGGTAAGTGCGCAAGTAACAGCAGGAATAGAATTCAAACACTGGGCCACCTGTAGTGCTTTTGCTTTTATGTGATCATGAAGGTCAGCGGTTTGAATCTGCGTGACAGGGTGAACTCCCATTGCTCTGTCCCAGCTTCTGCCAACCTAGCAGTTCAAAAGAACACCAGTGTAAGTAGATAAATAGATATCACTGTGGCAGGAAGATAAACAGCGTTTCCGTGCACTCTTGCTTCCGTAACAGTGTTCTGTTGTGCCAGAAGCGTTCTAGTCATGTTGGAAAGCTGTCTGTGGATAAACAGACAGTCTGTGAATAAACATGCCTGGAAAGCTGTCTGTGGATAAACACTGGCTCCTTTGGCCTGAAAGCGAGATGAGCACCACACTCCATAGTCACCTTTGACTGGACTTAACTGTCCAGGGGTCCTTTAGCATTATTATTATTATTATTATTATTATTATTATTATTATTATTATTACCTTTTACGTGATCATGACTATTACATATTTGGAGGGAAGTCATATCATGCTGGGTCCAGGAAGGATTTTTCTGCAGGGCATAGCTGCAGCAGAAACACAGTGGTACCTCGGGTTAAGTACTTAATTCGTTCCGGAGGTCCATACTTAACCTGAAACTGTTCTTAACCTGAAGCACCACTTTAGTTAATGGGGCCTCCTGCTGCAGCCGCGCTGCCAGAGCACGATTTCTGTTCTCATCCTGAAGCAAAGTTCTTCACCCGAGGTAATATTTCTGGGTTAGCAGAGTATGTAACCTGAAGCGTATGTAACCTGAGGTACCACTGTATGAGCAGAACTTGAAGAAGGAGACTTCCCACTTCTGTTGGGACTCCTAGATGGTGTGGCTTGTGATGTGGGCGTCTGCAGTGGGTAGGCAAAATTGTCCCAAATCAGACAGAAACCCCTTATATGAGCAGAGCTTTCTTCTTTCAACGATCTTCTATCCACTTGCAGTTTTCAGGATCCAAACGAATGATTCTTGAGATTGTCTGTCACCCTGTTATAGTTGGGCTTTGATGCTGTGTGACAGTAATTCAGTTTATTGTAGTCATTTTACCACAGTACAGTGGGTTGGATCCAGAGAACTCCGCTTTTCCCATAGTGTTTTCCAGGCTGCTCCCTCTTTACAAGCCCTTGTGCTCCATGCAAAGGATACCCCTGAGGATTTTGGGGATTCCCTAGAATCCGGCAGAGTGGAGCTGTAGCAGGATGGTGAAATCAGAAGAATTTGGTTTGGCTGCCATGCACACACAGAAGTGCCTTTCCACTCATGTCAGACACCTTTGGATCCAAGCCAGTAACCTATAGTAATACAATATTTGGGAAGAGAGTAATTCTAAAATAGAAGAAAGTGTGCTCTTAATATCTATCAGGATCTTGCAGTATCTGAAATCATTTCTGAATTTAAAATGTGACATATTTTTAACTCCAAAGTCTGATATATGGTATGTGGATAAGAATATTCTGCTGTTAAACATTTGCCCAATCTTTTTCAGCAATACAAGTATCTGCGCTTCAGGAGATCACTTCCGTTGCTTGCAAAGCATAGTTGTGTGGAGTCGCTTTATATGGTCAGAAACTTTTGTGCTGCTTACTATTTCTTTGGTAAGAATTTTTGGTAATTTTACTTCTCTCCCCCGCCGCCTTTTCTGTAAATGATACAAGTGGGAAGGAAGCCAGCAATTCCCTGATAACAAGTTGCTGAATTGGGGTGGGAGGGGGCTTTACATAAGAGTTGGCTGCCATAGTCATGCCCAACTTTTGGGGTTTACAAAGTCAACTGGCCAGTATAGGGGAGGGGGGAAATGCTCCGTGTAGCAGAGTTTTGCCCCCAATTTATCACCATTTCTTTTCCTTAAAACTTTCAAATTTCTGTTGGTAATATATTTTTATGCCAGAAATACATTTCCTCTATGGAAGTGTTAATACACCTGTGTTTTTACAGCTTGATTTCCCTCCCATTTGTGGCATTTTAGGTTATATTCCAAGGGCATGGATAATTACCACAATGAACCTTCAGACTGATAGGTTAGTACCTATAACAAATAAATAAATAAATTGAATTTCTAACTCTTCATCTTGTAATAGAGGAACTCCTTGTACATTTTGCAGGTTGTCAGATTCCTTCTCCATGCTTTAGAAAATAAGACTCCCAGAGCAGCTTGAAAAAAACAAACAACAGCCTAGCAAGACTGTCCCCACTTTCAGACGTATAATATGACACACAAGGAAGAAGGAATGGGGAAGGAAGAGGGGGCAGGAAACAAGCTCAGAGTTCATGCTTTAAAATTGCAGTTCTCCTAGCGTTCAGTTGGGGTAGAAACAATTCAGGTAGGCTGATGGAGTTTAGCCAGTTAGATATTAAAACCAGCACTTTTAATTGAGCCCAGAATACAGTAGGTATGCTTATGCAAATACTAGAGTAGTGGTATAATAATTCCCCTAGCAACCTACTCCTGTCAATGAAAAGTGATGCATTTAATTGAAGTTTCTGGATTCTTATTGAGGGTGGTCTAGCACAGATGTTTCTTTCTAACAAGATGTGCTAAGTAAAAAAGAAACCTGGCCTCTCCCACCACCCTGGTATGGGTGTCCTTCCTGCTATTGATGGCCAGTCAAGGTCACATGCAGCTTTGATGTCGTACAGAGCTTCAAAACTAACTTTCCAGCTCCACCCCACTAGTCTGATGGTGCCCACAGGAGAATAATATTCTTCCATGGAGTAGGATAAATAGACTGAACACTAAAGCCTTCCATCAGGGATAGTTCTTACAGTGTTGGGAGATTTTAAAGATGTTTGAGGCTCATTGGGGAATGATGGTGACCTTACCCTCTCTGGCAGTGGGAAGTAACAAAGAACAGACTTCTCAGGCATCCTTGGTGGACTTACTGAGTCTGTTTGATTCTGTGTCAGTGGAGAATGTCCTAAATGTCTTCCACTATGCCCTGAGCAATCGTATGGGAAACACTTTCACAACAGAAGTATTAGAATCACATTTCCACTTGCATAGTTCATTTGTTGTGTTGTGTAAACATATATCAAAAGCGATACTTTTGATATAGACCAGCTTGTTTTTATATACTGCTCATTGCAAAAAACACCATGTAATGGTGTTGGCTTTCCTCCCCTGGCCTTCCAGTAAACTTCATCCTCTGGACACGATGGCTGGTCTCTTGGATTTGTCCCTTCTGTACCACAGCTGGCTATGTGGCGTGTTTCTTCTGATGACTTGGTACATTGCATGGCTGCTCTTCAGAATCTATGCCACTGAGGTTGGTGCTGTATGTCTGATATATACAATCGTACTATCTCTTCCGTTTTTAAAGCAATGCATGAATGCTCTTATACTTTTTGTATAGCACAGCAGGACTCTTGAGAACAGATTAATCGGTTTTCAGTTGGATAATTTTACATTCCTTTCCCCTGCTTTCTTGTCAGGGCTGGGTTGGGTTGACAGCCTGTCCGTTTTGCTGGTTTGACCAGGCTTGCAAATGATCACAGTATATATTATTATTAATTTTCACAAAGGGGTTTTTCTCATGGCGAGCTTCAGCTACGGTGTGCGTTCCATTTTCAGGCACATCATTTTCCTGTCCAGCCGACATTTGCGGAAGAAACCGACCAGTGTTTACCTAAAATTTTAAGCAGCAACCCCCCACCTCTTATAAAGGTATGAGTTTGGTTAAATACACAGACTTGTCAAATTGCCTCTTTCGTAGTCTTTGTCATAATAGAAGCAATTTGAGTAAAATATAAGTGATAAAGCATGGGATTTCATGCAAGGTATTTTTCAATTTACCAATAAAATTCACACTAGAAGCTTGCAGCCAAGGATTTGACAGGTTTTTTAGATCACTATGGGAATGTAATCTTTTCTCACCTCTGTAACTTCTAGCCATAAGTTTCTTTTGCCCATGTTCCTGGTTTTCCTTCCCCATCACATTCCTCTTTCCCCTCTTAATTCCTCTGAATCATTTCTTTCTCCCACTCCTTTCTGACGTCGCTGTGCTTCTGTTTTGGGATCCGAACCCCTCTTTCCCTAGGTCCCTAATGCTTCTATTGTCTCCTTCCTTAGGCCATTCTCTCTGGCTTGCCTTATCAGCTTAGCAAATGACAGCCATAAATCCATTTCCATTCTCCATGGAATGCTCCATGAAATGCTTCACCAGGGCAACATTTTAGTGCAAAAATCTGTCTGCGTATCAAAGTAATTTCTTATACGTTTGCTTGCATACCTAAAGTGGCTGAAGCTCTTTGTCCCTTATCTAGCACTTAATGAAAATGCAGTTCTCAGGTGTGTCTGGAAAAAAGCAATAATTTGAAAATAATTTATTTTGAGGGTTCAGGTAGGTAGCCGTGTTGGTCTGACACAGTCAAAATAAATTAGAAATTAAAAAATTGTCCAGTAGCACCTTAGAGACCAACTAAGTTTGTTCTGGGTATGAGCTTTCATGTGCATGCACACTTCTTCAGATACCTGTGTGCATGCACAAACTTAGTTGGTCTCTAAGGTGCTACTGGACAATTTTTAAATTTTAAATTTATTTTGAGGGGGCAGAGTGAAGGGAATTTTAGTGATAAAATTTGAGTAAAAACGTTATAGCTGTTAATACTTTTAAACATTTCCCCCTGCAGTTCTTGGCTTTACAGGACTTGATGTTCCTTTCCCAGTATTCTTCTGTGCGGCGTCAAGAGGTCTTCAGCCTTAGCCAGCCAGGTATTTGGAAAAAAATAGCTATGACCCATTAAGTCAGAAGAGGAAAGTGAGAAGTACTCTGTAGGAAGCTGATTTTGAGGAGAGTTGTTCTGTTTTTATTGTTGTATTTAGCAAATAGTAGTGAGGAAAGGTAGGTTTTTATACAGAGCATCTTATGCTGACCACCATTGTGTCCAAAACAAGGTATGAGGAGGTCCAAGATGGATTGTGTACAAACAGCATTTCCCCTCTGCACTGGCAAAGCAGACGGTGCTTATCGCATGCATTAAAAGTAAGGTAGCTATGCATATTTTATTTGGGCTTTTTGGACCCCAATACAATTCTGTGAAATACGTTGGAAATGCCTCACTCCACTGCCTGATGTTCCAGTGTTTATTGACTAGCTTCTGATGGCTATATGATGTCGCTATATTCATGGCCTAACAGTTTGACCACAACTTTGGGCATTTAAAGGGTTGATATTTTGAGTTGATTTTTTTTTTACTTCACATACTTCACTGTGATATAAGAGCTTGCGTAATAGCCTGACCCCTCTTTTGGGCTACTTCATGCTATGTAAATTGGCTAGCTTTTTTGGGTTGTAAGTTGCTCTGAGTTGCCTTGGGCAAGATAAAGTGACTAACAAATATAAATAATAATAATAATAATAATAATAATAATAAGTTTTTAAGTCTAGACATTCTGCTTGTCTATAAAAGGTGGACACCCTCACAACTGGACTTCAATCTCCCAGGAGTGCTTGAAACTTTTAAGTGATCTGACACAGAAACTGATAATGCACCAGGAGGCCGCAGCTGCAAACGGGAGGCTGAAACAGCAATCTGTGGGGGACATGAGACAGCCCTCTAGCCCTCCAGGTACTGGACGAATCAGTTGCAATGTTGCAGTTCTTGAGTCTCCAAATCACAGCTGGGCCTGCCAATGGGTGTCCGGGGAGAATCTTATTTCAAAAAGGGATAGGACAGCTGATTTATTGTTTCACTTGCATGTGGAGCTTTCGCTGATTTTTTTTCTTTAAAAAACACACATTCCAGTGGATGTTTGTAAAGAGCAGCTTCAGACTTTATGTGGGAATGCTGCCTTGCCATGGATGTGCTGGTGTTTTCTTACAGTAAACCCATGTTCACAGGCACACATTGCTCAGCCTGCAGTGAAAATGTACTAGGGAACTCCCCGTGGTTTCTGTCCACTTTATGTCATGAGATATGCATCTGCCATTCATGCTTTGCTTGTGTTACAGCACTGTTTCCCCCCTAGTAAACAATTATAAGGTAAAGGTAAAGGACCCCTGGACGGTTAAGTCCAGTCAAAGGCGACTCTGGGGTTGCGGCGCTCATCTTGCTTTCAGGCCGAGGGAGCCGGTGTTTGTCCACAGACAGTTTTCCGGGTCATGTGGCCAGCATGACTAAACCGCTACTGGCGCACGGAGGACCGTGACAGAAGCCAGAGCGCGCAGAAGCACAGTTTAATCAGAGTGCATGGAAATGCCGTTTACCTTCCCGCCACAGCTGTACCTATTTGTCTACTTGCACCGACATGCTTTCAAACTGCTAGGTTGGCAGGAGCTGGGACAGAGCAATGGGAGCTCACCCCGTCGCGGGGGTTCGAACCGCTGACTTTCCAATTGGCAAGCCCAAGAGGCTCAGTGGTTTAGACCACAGCCGAAAAATTGAAGTATAATAAAGTATGAAGCAGCCCTGAGGAATATATCGCCTCCTGTTGCTGTCCAGCTGGGATTTGGATCTCTGTCAGTTAGTAACTAAAACATTAGGTTTGCAAAGTGCATGACTTAGTGAATGCCACTTGTTGGTATAAACCATTTTGAGTTCTTCTTGTAAAATATTCTTATTTGCCAGGAGCAGCTGCTGAAGAAACATCATTTCACACTCCAAGGTCCATTATGCTTCCTCGAACCCAAATGCCTTCTCTGGTCAAATCATCTCTGTTGCCTTTGAAAACATCCCCTTCTTCTGACGTCAGAAGCAATTTAGGGTCACCTTTCACACCTCTGAGTCGCAAGGCTGGCGTGCTGGATTTAAACTCTCCTTGGAATGGATCTGTCCAAAGTCCCCATATTATGAGGAGAGGACCAAAATTATGGACAACAAGTTCAGGTAGAATGTATTCTCTCCCAATCTTAGTTTGAGCACTTGGCTACTTAATTACTGGGACACCCAGTTAGGCTTTTTGTTGTTGTTTTTTTTAAAAGGTGGGGGAACCAACAGTTTGGATTTCTTTTGTAGATCTGCAGTGGACAGCCTCTTCTCCTGAACCCTACCCAATGAGTGCTGTTGCAGGCGGTGCAAATGTAGCAGTACAACCAAGTTTTATCTATACATGGCTGCAGAGCAAGAAAGAGCAGGTATACGAAATCAGGCAATTAATGAGTCAATACTTCCACCAGCATTATTGTCTTGTGCATTTCCCCAGCGCTTTGTAATGTAGTTTAGTGCATTTCCCAAAGCAATCTGTAAACTTTCAGCAATGACCACTTCATAGCAACTCCTATCCCTGCAATGAAGCAGCACATTTTTGTTCTGATCATTGACACAACTCCAAAAATTAAAGCCTCTACTCTACTGAAGCGCTTGATTAAAATAAATGTGGGTGGCAGAACATAAACCACTGTCAAATGCAGTGCTTGCAGTTCAGAATATCTAGACCGTGGAGAGAGACTAAGATAAAACCTGAAATGCATTTATTTGGACCTGCATACTGTTTTAAATTGTTGGGAATTAGTTCTAACAAACTCATTTTAGGATTGGGGTGTCAACCAGTGAAGCTTAAAAGTTTTGGATTACTTTTAAACAGAGAATAAATATCATTTTGATCTGCCAAAGATGTACCGTTGTCTTTTCATTGATATTTTCTTCTTCCAGATCAAAACCTTCTTATCAAAACGAGTACTGATAATGTATTTTTTCAGCAAGGTAAGGATGAGGACATGACTGAGTGATCGAAATTTAACTGGGCAGCAAAGAATTATTGTTGTTACTGCCTTTTGAACTACTCCTATGAAATCTATGCTCATAACTATTGAACTCAAACAAGATAGGGGAACCTGTTTCCCTGAAAGCAGCTCTCATCATCTCTGACCATTGGCCCTGCTGTCTGGGGCTGATAGGACATTTGCAGGGGGATAGGGCCCTCTTCCCTGAATTAGGACTTGGTACATTGATCCTTGAAACAAATGCTGTGTAAACTGAAAATTTAGCTTCAAAATACTAATCTTCATAGGGTTAACACACTGAGCACTGAAACTATTTTCAGATTAACTTTTCATGCAGAGCTCGTGATGGCTAAACTTTGGTTACTTCATTTTATTTCTATATTTGAAACATTCTGTTTATATGGTTGGCTAAAGGGTTTGCAAAAACACTTCTCTCTCTTTCTTTCTCTCTTTTCCAGAACCCCGAGGCTTCAATTCAGGCTCTCTTTTCTGATACCCAAATGCATATTTGGGCTTTGGAAGGTAAGCACTTTCTTCATATTGGAAATGGCTCTCAGATGAATGTTTATGCTGCTCCCTTTGATTTATGTGGTAACCTTGCAGTGAAATTCACTCAGAAATATCAATTCATTTTTCTTTTGGCACACCCTCCCTCTCAGTTTCTGGGTTCTCACCCGGGGTTGAAACAAACACTCAGCTCACCCACAAAAGCCTCACAACCAGAAGAGTTTCTGGAAACAGCAGACATCATCCTCGTTGCTTACTCTAGACTTGCTTTTTATGGGCAGGCCCAAGGTAGATGGCACTTCCTCAGGCTGCCTACAGCTGTACAGCTGCACTTTCCACACCCAGTTCCAGGTACAGCTGGTTTGTAAAGTTCCCAGGGGCTCCAAAGGATGGGAAAAGGGCCCTCCTCCACTCACAACTTTTTCTTCATCCTCTGCCCTCTCCTCTGCTTCCCGCTGTGTTATAATCCCAGACGAAGCAACAAGTTATCCAAACTACAAATTACTCCTCTTTTTAGGTTTGTCGCATCTCATAGCAGCTTCATTTACCGAAGACAGATATGGAGTTGTCCAAACAACACTGCCTTCTATTCTGAATACGTTGCTAACTCTTCAAGAGGTTAGGAGATTTTCTTTCTTCTTTGAAAAAAACAGTGATATGAACTCATAACGTGGTAATTGACTTAGGAAAAAAAAAGATTGGTTTTGGTTTTGCCATGACTTTTTTCAAGCAAATTTTAACCATAGAAGAAAGGTCTGATAAGGTAAGGAGGATATTGGTGCTTAAGTTTCCTGTTGGTTTATTTCTATCCTAGGTGGTAGACAAGCAGTTCAAGCTTCCTCATGTTTCCAGCAAACCCCCCCGGATTTCAGGAAGTCTGGCAGACACTTCCTACAAAACCCTTCGATTTGCCTTAAGAGCGTCACTGAAAACTGCAATCTATCGGATCATCACCACTTTTGGAGAGCACTTAAAGTGAGGTTTGGGCTCATAAAGCTGCCTTAATGTTCATTTCTAAATATAATGAGATGTACCATAGGCTTCCATCTCTTTTCACAAATGAATGAAAATAAAAGGTTAGCAGGAACCATGCTCTACTCTGCGTAGAGAAAATAAAAGAGCTCTCTGCCAGGGATGTTACAAATTGTTATGCGCAGCAATCTGTGTAGCTTTGTACAGAAATGTTCTAAGGCAGCATACACACTATACCTTGAAAGCACATTCAGAGCACATTTGCCCCCTCAAATAATTCCAGGCACTGTAGTTGGTTAAGGATTACTAGGAATTCTAACTCTGTGAGAGGTAAACTACAGTGTTGTAGGGGGAAAATGTGCTTCGAATGTGCTTTGAAAGTATAATATATACGCAGCCTAACGGTGCTTTGAAGAAACCAGGAGCTGCATGTTAGCAAATGAAAAGCCTTTTATCATGCCACTACCCTGCTAGACCATGAGTTGACCCCAGCATTACCATCCTTCCATTTCCTTGGATTTCCAAGTGACAGCAGAGGGATGATAATGTTGAGCTACATTTATTTGCCCAGGTTGTTTAGGCTTCTCGTTTTTCTAAGAAAGTCATCAAACCTTTTCCGAACTTTGTATATTGAAGTGTTTGGGGAACAGGTCTGCAAAATATGTTTTGTGTTTTTTCTGTTCTCCAGTGCCGTGCAAGTATCTGCAGAAGTCAAGAAAAGACTCCAGCAGTTCCTGGAGTTCAAGGAGTAGTTCAAGTCAAAGTGCCTGTGCTGTTAACAGGTGGATAATGCAAGTTCAGCTGCCTCAGATCAAAAGAAATTGAAACTGATTTGATCTGTCCTACTGACTTTCCAGAGGTGTACTTTAATTGCAAGTCACGGGGTGACTAAACTGTCAACAGAAGTACTTGAAACACTTGGAATACGTTACTTGACATTTTGTATAATAAAGTGTGTTTTTTTTAAATGAATGAAGGTCTGCAGTAGCTGAATGCTATTATGATTTATGTATGGCAGATAATGGGAACCTGTGTCCTTCCAGACATTTTGGGCAACACCTCCACACATCCCTGACTGTTGGTCACGCTGGCTGGGGCTGATGGGACTTGGAGTCCAACGACATCTGAAGGGCCATTAGTTCCACACCCCTGATATATGAGATTGCTCTGATTTGAAGGAGGGTATGGGTTTTTCTACATGATCTTTACTAATGTGGCACTTTCCTTCTCGTAATAAGTGACTCATTTTGTTTGGGGGTGTCGCTTCTGAGAATTCAAGGGTTGTCTCCAACTAAGCTGTACTCAGATTAGAGCCATTGAAATTTATGAACCTAAGTTAGTTAAATCCATTAATTTCAGTGCGTTTTCAGTGGGTAATGTTTATGGGGCCGTGCTCCAAACCTTATAAGTACCAGGCTGTCTGACACCACAGCAGATACTCATTCCCGTGATTCCTTTTCCTAAGAAAATGAGTTCAAGCCATGTGGAGACTAGATTTGCTGAGGGATTCTCGAAATTGTAGGCTCCTAGCACACCTAGGAGGTTGTGCATCCATAGCAGTGATGAGAGGAGGAGTGACTGCTGGGAGGACCGCAGAGAAGAAATGCCATGGTGCATCTGCAGCAGCGCAACTGGACGCCTTCAGCTGCAACAAAACATGTCTCCCATATCTCTCTCTACAGCCACAGCAGGCACTAACCTTCCAGCGGTTTGACTTCACCCCAAAAGGCACACTGTCTCCCAATACAGATTGGATGCCAACCAGCAATCCTTGCTCCAGATGTGATGTCACCATTATAGCCTATATGACTTTCCACACTTGGTCCCACTCTCCACATGAGGCAATAGGAATGTGTGCCTTTAAGAGTAGAGGGTACCCTTCCTTCCTCAGCAGCGCCTCAGAGGCTACCATGCTCACCAAGCAGAAGCCTGGGACACCTCTCCAGGAAGCAAAACAGCAAAGGTGGCCACACCAAGATATATTCTCCAGCACCTATACAACTCCTCAAATACTTTCATAAAGCTGCATACAGAATAAATCAGAAGGACTATGTATGGCGGGATTTCCTCTCTAGTCCTTCTAGACATTCCGAGGGCAGCCCAGAAGGGTTGAACGCCATGAGAGAGGCAGGAACATCTCCTTCTTTTTAAATCTAAGGGCTTATCAACACTTAAATTTTGCCCTGTTCTTTCCAGGCTGTGCTTTAAATATCCACCTCTGAGTGTGTTCAAGGAGAGGTGTGGCTTTCCCTGCTAAAACCTGCTCTTTTAGGCCGGAAGGTTTGAGGCCTAGTTCTCCAACTGTCACTCCTCATTGGAGTGACACTCCTCCAACTGTCACTTCCTTATTGAGAATGCCTGCCGGAAGGAGAAAACGAGGTGCAAAGAGCCAGAAGACCATTATTGAGACTCACAATTCCTCTAAAACAAAGAATCGGCAGAGAGCCAACGCCATCTGCCCTGGCTCAGAAACAGAGCGGGTTGAGGAAACCGAGAAAACAGAGCAAATAGAACAAACAGTGATTTAACATTACCGAAATGTAGATCTAGAAAATTTCCACTTCCTGCCTACCTTGAGAAACACCATGCGCCTATTTATGATCTTTAGGTCATCAACCCTCCTATCTCGACTCATGGAGATAAAGGATACCCTATGGTGGTTCCATTCTCTCTGCCCAGTGAGGGTATTTAAGGATGAAACTAGGAGGCAATTAGTCCCTTGCATAGAGTCAAAGCTAATGCGGATAAAGGAAACCAAGCTCAACACTAGAAATACTAATTGCCCGAAGGAAGAAAAGAACTCTGTAAGCTTAGAATTACAAGACCTGAAGAAGAGGCTAATGAGTATAAAGACTGAGATTTCTACCCAAAATATAAGGATAGTAGAGCCTAGAGCACAATATTTAAAGACGTCCAACAGCTCTTTATCCCATAGAAAGACATCAGTGCAACTCCCTGTTCCCTTTTCAAATGACACCAAATTAGATGAGGAATTTGGCGCCTCCGACATTTCTATGGCAACAACACCTAAAGAACTCTATGTTGCTGACAATCTGGAGATATCCAGCACCAAATCTACATCTGGACCTTTGCCTAATGTTCCAAAAACTTATCAGAATGATCAGCCTTCTCTACTGTACTCCTGGCGAGACAGGATGGACAGATCTTCCGAATTCGAATCTGGCTCTTTGTTGGCCAGTGATCCACATTTTATAACACATACCTCATTAATACTTCCACAGCCACAGATAGAACCAACAATCCTCCAATTAACCCAGGAGGGAGAGGGGGATTGACAGTTAATGAAACACCATGGGACTGTCCCCCCCGCTTGGGGTGCGGTTGGTTGGGTTTTATCTTCTAGGGATACTTACCCTATCAGACCTCCACCTCTTTCCCATACCATTTTGACCCAGGAGTCCTGGCCCAAGGATGACTTGTTATTGAGGGGATGTTACCCATCTATTAGGGAGGCTAGTATGGGATCTGGGATTTCCACAATTGAAGGGCTAGGGAGGAATGGCGGTGGGGCTAGATATCTCTATCTGCGAAGGGTTTCGAGATGCAGTGATCCTCGAACCCCTTCCAATCTACGCCCCATCCCAAGGGATGACGGTAGGGAGAGCAAGGATTACACACCTCCGTCATTGGTGCTGTGCAATGCCAGGTCCATAGGCAACAAAACCGCCACCATGCGTGACTTTTTTGTCTCGCAGGGGATTGACCTGGCTTGCGTGACGGAGACCTGGGTGCGGGAAGGCGAAGTAGTCTCCCTACATGAGATAACACCCCCAGGTTTCTCTGTCCTCCATCAATCGCGGACTGTGGGTCGGGGGGGGAGGAGTAGCATTGTTATTCCGGGAGGATTGCTCTTTCAGAGCTTTGCCATCACCGGCGATCTCTGGCATTGAATGTGTTGGTCTCGTGTGGGGCACCAAGGAGAGCTTGGCTGTCTGGCTGGTGTACCGACCACCCAGCACACCTGCAGCCACCCTGTCAGACCTGCTGGAGGTGGTGGCGGGCTGGGCCTTGGAGTTCCCAGACCTACTGTTTTTGGGAGACTTCAACGTCCATGCCGATGCCGCTCCCTCCTCACAGGCTCTGGACCTAGTGACTTCCATGGCAACACTAGGGCTCTCCCAGTTTGTTTTGGGCCCCACTCATCAAGCAGGCCACACGCTGGATCTGATCTTTGGGGCCGGCATAGATGTGATCATGCTCCCCGCTGTGGAAGTGCCATGGTCTGATCACTATGCTCTGAAAGCCAAGATTGACTTCCCGCTCCTCCCTGGCTCGGGTGGCGAACCTATTTGGGCTCGTCCGCGAAAACTGATGGATCCTGATAGATTCCGACAAGCCTTGCGGAACCCTGCTCCTCCTGGCGACTCATTAGATGACCTTGTTGAGGACTGGAATAACCGGCTCTTGGCAGCCATTGATGAGATCGTGCCTAAGCGCCCTCTGCGACCCCGTCGAAACCAGGCCCCTTGGTTTACTGAGGAGCTCCGGAAAATGAAGCAGGATCTCAGACGGCTAGAGCGAGTATGGCGACGGACTCGTGACGGAGCCTCAAGAACATCTTATAGGACGCTTATGAAAGCCTATGAGATGGCTATGAAAGCTGCTAAGAAATCTTACTTTGCAGCTTCCATTGCATCCGCTAGCTCTCGCCCGGCACAACTTTTTAGAATAATTAGGTCAATAACGTCCTTAGGAGGACAACCAAATTTAAGCACAAATTCGACCCACAGCTGTGAGGCATTCGCGAGCTTTTGCGGAGAAAGTCCTGTTGCTCCGCCGTGACCTCCCTGCCAATTTAGATACAGTGACTGAACTGGAGGCCCCTCGACTGACTTCAGGTCCAGTGTTAGACCATTTCGATCGGATACTCCCTACTGATGTGGATAGATTCCTCCAAGTTGGTAGGCCCACCACCTGCCTCCTTGATCCGTACCCGTCTTGGCTGATTAGGGAGTGTCCAGATGTTGCGCGGACCCCCCTGGTTGAAATTATCAATTTGTCCCTTGACACGGAGACATTCCCAGGGGAACTGAAGGAAGCAGTGGTGTGTCCACTCTTAAAGAAAACTTCATTAGATCCCTTAGACCTATCCAATTACCGCCCAGTTTCAAATCTTCCATACCTGGGTAAGGTAATTGAGAGAGCGGTTGCTGAACAGCTTGGTAGGTTTCTGGAGGAAACATTGGCATTAGATCCATTTCAGTCCGGTTTCCGTCCTGGTTTTGGGACGGAGACGGCTCTGGTCGCCCTAACAGATGATCTCCGTAGACAACTGGATCGAGGCGGGTCAGGACTGCTGATCCTTTTAGATTTGTCAGCAGCCTTTGACATGGTCGATCATGATCTTCTGGACCACCGCCTCGCAGACGTGGGGATACAGGGCATAGCCCGTAACTGGTTGTGCTCTTTTATCTCTGGTCGGGGACAGAGGGTGGCACTAGGGAGGAAATGTCGTCGCGCCACTCCTTGGTGTGTGGAGTGCCGCAGGGCGCAATTCTCTCCCGATGCTTTTAACATCTTTATGCGCCCCTTGCCCAGATTATCCGGAGCTTTGGGCTGGGCTGTCACCAATATGCTGATGACACTCAGCTCTATCTGCTGATGGATGGCCACACCGACTCGGCCCCGAACACACTGACCAGATGCTTGGAAGCTGTGGCTGGATGGTTTCGTGGGAGCCGATTGAAACTAAATCCTTCGAAGACAGAGGTCCTATGGCTAGGTCGGGATGGCATGGGGATGAGGGACCAACTCCCTTCTCTTGCAGGGGCCCAATTAGTGCCATTGCCTTCCGTTAAGAGTTTGGGTGTAATCCTTGACGCCTCCCTTTCCATGGAGGCGCAAGTTACAGCAACAGCCAAGGCGACATTTTTCCACCTTCGCCGCATCAAGCAGTTGGTCCCTTACCTTTCCCGCCCTGACCTGGCCACAGTGATCCATGCGACGGTCAT